CCCACCCCCCCCCCAAGGCTGCGTGCCTGCAAAGCTGCGAGAACCGCGAGGCTGCAGCCGGGCAGCCGCGAGCGGAGCTCCTGGCTGCGGGTTGTCCCCGGTCTGGGAGGGGGCTCCTGAGCATGAAGCTTTCTCAGCCCTTTCCGTGCTCCCCTAGGCTAGTCTTTCATTACACGACTGCTGCCAGCCCCTCGATCTCGCCTGCGTTAGTCTTCTTCTTTATTTGCCCTGTCTCCTCATGTTTTTGCCTCGTGAGTGCCATTTATGCTTTCCATTCCAAAGGCTTGACAAAACTTGCCCTTTTGTTCTCTGAGGGCCAGCCTGTGGCTTGCTGACTCTCAGTGCAAGCTCAAATATATGAAGTCTAGAAAGACACTGGTGATGTCAGCACATTCAACATGCACTAAGAAGCTTCTTTTAGTAAATTACGCACCAGGAAAGCGGCTCAGGGATCCTATAGAAGCTGAACTAGTGGGAGGACTGTTGTTTAGCACCATGTGCCACATGTGCCAAAGCCATCCAGCTCCATCCTCACTTTCAGTAGAATGAAATGCCTTTAGATGTTGTATGTGCACCAACACATGTGTGATCAACATAGCCACAAACCTAAGTGAAAGATGTACTTTTGTTTGTTAACTACGGCTGAAAAGACAACACAACAAAACTAGAGTGCTGCATATTTTTGTTTTCTGGGAGTTCTGGTTCAAGAACTTCATCTCAGAGACTAAAATCATCCTGGTGTTTAGCTTTGGAATGATCCTTATGAATGCTGAAGCAGTGAACTATAGCATTCTTCCTGGAGGGAGAGAAGCCTGAGTTGCCTTTGCTGAAAGGGTATGATGAGTCATGGTTTTGTAATGTGAATGACTCTATTAGTATACATAAAATACTAAGATGCAAATGAAATTCCTCACACAAAATAGTATGTTCTTTTTATGCATGAAAGGTTAGTTCAGCATATAATATGAAAAAATTCCCTGATTGAAGCATATCCGGAGTGGGTTTGCTTGTTTCAAAGTACAAATTATAATGTTGTATGTGTACAGTGTAAAAAGCTACATTGCATAGCTTGATATTCTGTAATCTAGTTCGTATGATAAGTGTAACTGAATAGAACTACAGGTCATCTTTGGATATAAGTGAATGCTTTGTTTTCAGGGTTTTAAAATATTTTCTGTTTTTCCATAAAATTGTTCCCCTACCTTGCGATATGCTATGTCTTCTTTTCTTTCTCTCTTGCATCTTTTCTTGTGGGAAAGTAAAAATAGTTGCAATGTGATTTTCAGAATTAGGTTAGTTGTTGAAGTTCATCAGTTACACTGCAAAAGTCTTCAGGGAGCTATAACATCGCCAATTTTAAGTGAGTTTGGCATGTTGATATGGCAGTTCTGCTATACATGAATTATTTTTCCTGACATCCAGGAGTGTTGTTTGATATTTAAATATTAGGTGGTACTTAAAGACTTAATTAACTAGATTTTGTCAATATTTAGTTAACCTTGTCGGCGAAATAGTTTTAGTTAACTGGAAACTGTGCTGTTTGTGAGCTAATAAAAATTATTCAAGTGTTAAAATGTTAATTATTAGAGCAGATACCCTCTACTATACTGCAGCCTTTAAAAGTCCTGGAGCCAGTCCTTGCATGCAGAGGAAGGAGGCAGCTGGGGGTTAGAGATAGATGCCTAGAAGTTGTTTTAATAAATCTTCTCTTCTGTTGCTGGAAGAAGCATGTAACTTACATGGCTGAACTCAAATATTCTGTGGGCTGTGTAAATCTTAATAGCTATCTAAATTTAGTCTGTAAATATAGATAAATATCTATTCCCTGCGTTTAGCAGAAAACTGCCGAGTTAAGAATATTTGTCCTGATCCTTACCCTCTATCCTCCCCCAAAATAATAAAAACATTTTTTCCCACCAATTCTTTATAGGTATGTTGAAAAGCTACCATTTATTTTTCTCTATTATGGTTACTAAGGGATTTAGTAAGAATGGAGGTTAAGCTAGACGTTCTCATGTCTACATGTATCAAACAAAGAAAGCCATGGCCTCGCATCTCCTGGATTGGTCAGGTGAGATAAGGGATTTTTTCTGTGGGGGGAAAAAAAAAGCTATGTTTTAATCATGACAAGCTTGTTTAGCATTTCTGTTTTTATGTAGGGGGGTGGAAAAGCTTCAGGACGTGCTGCACTAGTTAGTATTTTATGAAATTGTAAACAAAACCGTGAAAAAATCATTATCCCAGTCTTGCTGCATCCATTGAACATGTACTTTCTTATGCACCTCCGATGAAATACTAGATTTTTTTCCTTTCTCTTTTAATGTATGATTTGAGCTTAAGTAGGCAACCATTAAAGGCTGAGTCCTTCCATTGAAATTTTGTCTTTCATTGGTGGTAAAAATTTCACTGAATTCAATAGTGCAGAAGGAGGTAACTGGAGTCTAATCTTGCACTAGTTGCCTGCTAGTTCAGCTGAGGTGTTTTGGAGATCTTTTTGCTAGTTATTGCAAGCATGGTCTACTAGTTCAATCTCTTGTGAACCAAATTCTGTATCAATTTGGGTTAATGTTAAATATGATGTTATACTGTAACATGATATGACAATTGTAATAATAAATTATGTGTTTTTTTCATTATTTTCCCCATTAGTCTAACATTTTTTGCATACATTATTTTGCAGACAAATATAGAAATATGACAAATAACATTTTAAAAATGGTTTTTTTTTTTCTTTAAATAGGAAAAAGAGGCTATTTTTCTTCTGGATGATAAACATATAAATGAAATTAACCTGACGTCAGGGAGGACAAAGAAAAAAATCCCTCGGCTGCAGTCATTGCTAAAAAATGTAATCGTCTTAACAACTTCAAGAAATGGTTAAGTATTAATATCTCATAATAACGTTATAAAATCATGATATTTTATTTTTAATTCTAGTGATCTAAAAGATGAAATAATCAGAAGGATTTGCCAGTTCAGTCTCAGCTGTAAAACTGTGACTAAAATGAAAGGAAGAGATTTAAAATACTTCACACTAGTGCAGTTATAACCATCTAACAATGATTTCAGGTGCTTGGTTGGCAGGAATACTTACAACAGGAGAACTATTTCTTTGGAATAAAGATCAAGACTTGTTGAAAATTGTGCCAGCAATTGAAGAGTCTAGGAAAGCCATTACAGCAGCACAAGGTGGGTTTTTTTTTTTTTTCGCTTTATCCTTTTAAAAATTGGGTAGAGACGAAGTGTTTTTCCTCTCATTATTAAATGCTATTACATAAGTAAATCTATATTTATAATTTGTATGATTTATATGCTAGCTATGTTATTTAAAGATATATTTTTGAATTCTCAAAGCTCCTGTAAACAATAATTCAATTTTTAATACATTACGTCTTTATTTTGTAATACAGCTGAGAGCAGATGTACACTTGATTTAAAACATATGTGCTTCATTTTAAGTTTATTCTCTGTATGTTTTTCAATGGCAAATACTGTTGGAAGGAATAATATAAAGGCATTGTGAACTTTACATAAAATACTATCTTATATTGCATAATCTCAATAACATGGTGTTGCAAAGTCAAGTATTGCACAAGCAGTTCCATCGTTTCAGTGAATATCAGTAGTGCATTTAGCAGTTGAAGGTAATGAATGAGTAGAGCTCTTAGGCATATATTTGTAACTGTAATAAAAGACTTCAAGATTTCAAGAAAGATCATATCAGGAAAGACCTAAGTAAATTCATAAAGTGCATAGAAATGGGAATCCAATCTGACATTACCACTGCAGAAATTGCTCTACTAGTGATGCAGTTTGGAAAGGTAGAATCTTTAAAGTGGAAGTCTGGATTTGTTTTGACTGAGAAGAAGGAAATTTCCTTTCTTTTTAAAATATAAATTGAACAGATAATAAAAAATTATTCTGGCACGTTGTTAATTTTTCCAGAGTGTTTGATGCGATTGCACTTGTATGTATCTGGAGATGGCAGAAAAATACTATTCACTACTCCTACGGCATGTGTCTTTCTCTGGGAGAGCACAGAGCAGGCAAATACACACTGCTCTAAGAATTCTTCAGTGGCTGGACGCTGGACACAAATTTTGCCTGATGAATCTCTTATGCTGCCTTCCACTGACGAAAAAGAAACCGGAGTGCATGCTGCTTTCATACAAAATGAGGTAAAAAAAGCCTAAAGCAATACATCTCATCTGTTGAGTAAACTGGAATCTCAGAAGGTACAGTGAGTTCTAAGAATTTTGTCTCTGGCGAAGGGTGTAGGCAACTGTTAGTTCTTATTAGGTTTAATGCCAGCATAAAAACAGTCATACCGAATAAGACCAAAGCTCCTCTAACCCAGTGTTTTCTCACCTGCCTTTATACTTATGAATAACAACATTATGTTATTTTTCTTGAATTGTAATACCTATTGAGATAAATACTTAAGGCATTAAGGAAGAAACTGTGCAATCAGGATTTTTTTTGTTTGTGTGTTTTTCTCCAGATACTGGGTGATTGCTGTTTATGCAGTTTTGTCTTCTACTCTGGGGAATGCTTGGTGCTCACATTTTTGGCTCTCCGATGGCATGAAAATAGCTTGAGATGTGTTAGGTGAGTTCAAAGCTATTGGAAAGTGTATTAGTTTAGGAGAGTTTAGAATAAAGTTCTTCAAAGTGAGGTTTCAAAGCTGCATATCAGCTCGTGGTGTTTGCATTAATATACAGTTAGCTAATGGTTACAAACATCTATCTATATTTGTATATGTACTTTGTAGTTTGCATCATAGTATATTTATGTATACATGAACAAAATGTGCATGAAATGTTTTTCATAGTTTATTAGTAAAAATGGTTTACACCTAAATAAAATTGAATGCATTTCTCCTAAAATATAGGTGAGTATCTATACATACCTGTGCTGCCACACAGATGTATCTGTCAGGAGATTTTCTGTGTAGTGCTGACATATTCTCCTTTTCTTGTTTTTCTCAAATTATTAGCGTATCGCACAGCTTTGAATGCCAATGTATCTCTTTCTCTTCTTTATTATGACTGTTTATCTATAGTATTTGTTTTCTATTCCCTTTATCATCTCCTACACCTAGACTACATACATGTATTTATTTATTTTAATTGGAATGGGACTGTTTACTGATAGAGTTTTACTGGTGCAACCGCTTAATGCAATTGAAAACTGCTTCTGCATGCATCTATAGTCCATTTCTCTCCTTAGGAGAGAAACCCCATTGTATGCAAGTTTAGCAGTGCACCTCTGTGGGTATAACTTGAATATGCCCTACATCTGAAAGTATACAATTGATTTTTTTTTAAAGAATTAACTTCTTCCTTGCCTTCCTAAAATGTACAACTCTTCACTCAGTTTGTTAGTAGCATAGCAGTAGCTCACCATCAATACAAAAAAATGAGAAGAGCTCATGATATTCCTAGTGTAGTCCCAGTGTAGAATGCATGAGACTGTTTTCTTCTTGTGTACCATAGTATTTGCAGCCTTACATTGTAACAACAATCCTCAACCATGTCTTTCACTTTTTTATGCCTATTATCACTCAGTCTCATTAGTTGCAATTATATATCTTATTTCTCCACCATAACTCTCAATCTCTGTTTTGCATCTGTTGGCATTCTTTCAATTGCAGTCTTACTCTCTTGTTTTGTGTCATGTTTTGAATCTTTTTAGATTCTTTAAGAGCAGTTTGCAGTTTTCTTCCATGTTGTACTGTCCAATTAGGCTGCTCTTGGATGGAATATGCATATCCTAGGTCAACAGCATATTGGGCTGTTTTATATTCACAGCCCAAATTTCTGTCTCATAAAAAACTTAGATACCATTTTTTAAAGTCCTGTAAATCTCAAATATCTTTCATCGATAATGTTGTTGAAGACAATGTGATGCTTTTTTTAACATGTTTTGTGTGTATCTGGTTTTTTTTTTTTTTCCTGATGAATGAATCATTCCATTCAGTACTGCTGAATAACCTCTTGTTTTTGTTGTTCTTTTTTTTTGGTATTTAGTGCTTTGCCATATCAGATTCACTGGGTACAGCAGACCTGTTCTCTTGCTAATCTGGTTCCTCAGTGTATGTCTGTAAAGTCAAGAGGAGCTTTGTTAACTGCATTTGCAAGAGATGGACTTTTACTTGCAGTAGCTGTTAATCAAAATGATCCAAAGGTATGAATAACAGAAGTTTATTACTTAAAGTAATAGTTCTGTTGCAAGTCTGATAAAGGTGATCTACTGAATTGTTTTAGATGTAATTTCTAGTAAGGCAATGGATTATATTCATACCAAGAAGTTCTGCCCAACTTGTAGTTCTTGGAATGCAGTTACTCAGTTAAGAACTTTGTATCAGCCAGTCTTTCATCTTTATTCTTTGAGAAATATGATAAAAAATAAACTAAATTCAAGTATTGTATCTGCAAAGGTACTGGATGACTCTCAGCTGAAGATGGGGAAGGGGTTATGGTCCCACTTCGTAAAGGTGTTCCCCATACCAATTCAAGAAGGCCAAATCTCAGGTCAAGTCTGCGTAGGATTTATTGATACTGATATCTGGAAATACTGGCCAGCCAGTATAAAATTCCAGGAAGAGATGATGTACTTCATAGCCCTAGTGCTTATTCACGAGTAAGACCGGATAAGAGTGATCTTAGGATATTTCTCAGACGTTAGGAAAAGGAAAAAAAAAGGCTCAAAATGGTAGATAATGTATATAATAAGAGTTAATTATTTTTCAAGTTCAGAAACGTATGTGTTAACTAATGCTTTAAGTAGTAATGCTGAGTAGCATTGTCACTTTCATATAGTGTTGCCAGTACATCTAATAGAATAAATTGTTAATAGAAAGCTTTAAAGTAAACAGTAATGTTATTTTGATATGAACCATTCCGTTGTGCTTTTTCTTTTTAGGCAACTCAGATTTTGTTTTTAAACACGCTGAATTTTCTAACTGTTTCGGGTAGTCTTAAAGGTTGCAGTAGCAAGAACAGCACAGTTCCCTCCAAATTTGTCAGGTCAGTAATTAGTACTAGTTACTGGTACAGTAAGTACTCCTGTTGCTCTGCCTTATCCCTTCCTCACTCCCTTTCCCCTCTTCCTTCCCACCCAGCAGAAATTATCCTTAATTTTGTTAGAATGATTTGACCAAGAGAGACCAATATTTTCCTTTCCCTATTTAGGTCTTATTGGGTTGGTGACATGAGTTGGACTCCTAATAGCCTTTTCTTGGCTTGCATGTTAAAACGTGGATCGTTGATTTTATTGACTTGTATGGGTGAATTGCTGACCTTGATTACTTCAGGCTGCTCTGTAGAATTTGGACCAGCAGAGTTTATTCTATTTCATCACCTAATAACATATAGGTAAAAGATTTTGAAAATGTTTATGTGTCTTTGTCATATGATCATATCCTGCTTTCTATGTTTTTACAGTTTTAAACAAACACATCTTTCAAGTTCAATCTTTTGCTTTCCTTATGTCTGTCTTCTCAATATCTGTTTCTCATTCATAGTTCTCTTCTATTTCTTATAATGGGTTTGTCCAGATGAAAAACTGGCATTGTGGCAATGTAAGTATACATTATTTAAGTGACTTTTGGGGCTGTTGCATATTTAAGTGTTTATGAAATTAGTGATAATTTAAATACTGTTTTTTTTAGTGTAGGAAAAATCGAATTTATAGAAATGCTAAAAATATTGATTAATATTAATCAATTGAGCTTTCCTTATTGACTGTTTGGTTTTAATTACAGGAGTTTATATCACATTTCTATATCAAATCTTTTAAATAGGATATTTGCATGGACATAAAATACATATTTGTTGAAATACATTTTGGTTATTCAGGTTCCAAATTTTGAAATTATAGTGTTAGAGTGGTCCGAATTTTGAAAATATAGGTTTTAGAAGGTTGGAGGAGTAAGTTAAGGGGATCTGATAACAGGTTTTTTTTTTTTTTTTTTTTTTTTTTTAACCCATAATTTTTTTTTAAATTACAAAAGTAATGCAACCAGAAAACCCAGAAGACAAAAAAAAAAAAATAAACACTCATATTTTGTTCTTGAAAGTCCTACTAGAACTTCCTGACTAACGCCAGATGCTGTATAAATGTATTACTCCATGATACATTAAAAAAATTCCTTGTGTTTGTTTATATATAGTACTTCTATAGTGTTTAGATTCATCGTATCTTAGAAATACATTAAATATAGTCTAGAAATATCTAGACTATACCTAGCATTCTTTAGATAATGCATCTATTGCATATTGTTTTGCCAGAATTGTTTTTACCAGTAAGTGAACAATCATACATAATTTAAATTAATTAATTTAATAATTTAAATGATTTAACAATAGTATACTTATATATCATTTATATAATAGTATATAATATACATTATATATTTAATACATTATTATTTTAATAATATATTTAATTTTAATGAATAATTTTAATAATAATATACTTAAATAATTAAAAATAATTAAAATTATTTAATATTTAAATTAATTCTTAATACTTAAGAGTTAGCATCTTTTATAATCTTTTAAAAGTATCAAAGATTATTGCAACTTTCTGTGTTCAAAGTACACAGAATCTACAAGAAAGCATCATAATACCTTCTTATCCTGGAACACTGAAAAATTAAATACTGAAATGTATTAAAATAACTTAATAATGTTTATTTAATACATTCAGCTTCCAAAGCTTTCAGACAATCCACTAGCTTTTTGACTAACAAGAAACAGAAAAAAAATCAATTATTGAACACACATTATTTCAAAATTTTTGACATTAATTTAATGTTATTAGAACACATGCACAGGACTTTCTGGAACACCAATCTTTCCATTGTAAGGAATGCTTTGGACTTTTGTGTTTGGATTAAAAAAAAAAAACTTCTGTTAAATGACGGACTGATTCTGAAATATTAAGATTCTGATTTTGGCCATCTTTTTTCCTACATGACTTTATTCGTAGTTACTTACGATTTCATCAGCGAGGTGTTTCTATCATGCCACTATCATGCCAGTAGGACTACTCAGAATATATAAATTTAAGGAAATGTTTAAAGTTTTGCAGAATGAGCATGTTGGATTTGTGCAAAATTTTTTTGCAGTTGCAACTCTGTGAATTAAAAATAAACTTAAGTATGTTCCTATTATTTTGCTAGGAAATATTATTTAAATCATATTATTATTTCCAATTTCACATTAAATTTCTATATGATAATTTCATTATCTAGATTTCTGTAAGTGATATGTAATTTTCTTAAGTTTCTTACTCTCTTTCCATTCATGGTTTCTGTATATGTTAGGTGCTCTCAATTGTTGATGTATCTTTATTTTACTTGCTAGACAGCAGCACTCTTTGTGTCAAGACTCTAGTCAGTCTCTTGGTTCTTCAGCCTCTGAAAGTGACATTTTCAGACAGAGATTCTCTGTTACTTCCCACTCGACATTACCCTACCTCATTGTTTCGGATGGATACATGATAACAGTGCTAAGATTTCCCAACAAGCTTTCACCATCGGGATTTGTAAGATCGCTTTTGCTTGATTCAACCCAACGGCTTGAAAATGTCCGACAGAATTTCACAAACTGTAAGGTAAAGTTGTGGATTTTGTTTGTGGGCTTTAAGTAAAACCTCAATAAGTATAAAAATGCAAAAATGTACTTCATTGTGAAATTTGGTTGCATTCTTTTATACCTTTCTATTACACTGGTTTGGAAAACACTGAATACACAGTTTTATTTGAAACTTGTTTATTTGTTCATTTGTTACATTTCAGTGAAAAGTAGTAAAGGAGACTGTCCAAATTATCGTTATAAAATCTCTTCAAATAACTTTAAAAGAAATTGAATGGTTTATGCATCTATAGAGTTGAATCAGAGCACTGGGAAATATTATGTTACTCTGATCAATTCATCCTTACACAAAAGGATGCTCTAAAACCTTTCAGTTTTAGAGAGCATGCTGCTGTTTTAGAGCAGGCAACAGCAATCCCAATTATACTGTGAACCTGTACCCACTAGATTCTCAACTGTCATTGTCAATTAAAGCTTGCTAAGCCTCTTTGAGTTGAACTAAATATGGAAAAAGAGAAACAGAAGAGACTGTTCAACAACTACCAACGACTTAACTCCCTAAGATGTAACAGATATCAAGAGCTTTTGTGTTTCTAATGGATGCTGAATGACGGTTGTCCTCCAGTGTTTGTATTCTGAGTTTTTGGAGATGCATGCTGTGATGGCATTCATGAATGCATTAGAAGAGTGGACAAGGATTTGAGGGCTTTAGAGGTGTATTGTTATTCAGAACACAAGGAAGTCCTACATATATGCCAGCTTGTGGGATTTTTTGTGGTATAAGAAAGCATAGTCTTTCAGCATCAGGTGAAATGAAGTCTTCTGATATAGTAAAAATATTGCATTCTACAAATATGGCCAAATGATGGTTTCTGTACAATACGTACTCTGTTCTCTCTTTATGCCCAGGGTTTTTACAGCGGGGACCAGCTTCTTTGTTTTGTGTAGGAAATGTCTGATTTATTACTAGGGGTGATTTTGCTTACTAGAGAATATTTTGCTTTATTTATGCTTCTTTTAGTCTAAAGCAAGACGGACATTTTTACGATCGTTGTTGTCTTTAAAAGCTAGTCTTTTGAAACATACTCAAAATCAAAGCTCCATCTTTCCCACCATTCCAAAATTCCTGGAAAAGGACACAACAGAAGTGAATGACAAAAACATTGATTTACAGGTATTTAATAGCATTTTCACTCTTATAATTATGCAAATGATTTAATTTTAAGATATTCTTAGAATTAAGATGTAAAGAATTTTTTAAATAATAGTAATTCAGGTATATTTGCTCTTATTAAGGATGTTTAAAGTAATTTCATATTTGGCTAAGTTCTCAGATTTTTATAAGCACGAGAGATGGTTGATTTTTCTCAATTGATACTTTAGTTTTCAAACATTTTTTTTTTCTGAATAGAAAATGTCTGTCAGAATCTAACATCTGTTAGAATTTAGTTAATTTTTTAAAGAAATAAATACAGATGTATGTTTACATCAATTTCTTTTAGTTTTAGCTTCACCATGTAATAAATTATGCTACACATATAGGAGCTATGAAGTATATTAAGTTTAATATTATTAGAAATAGTAAACTAGTAAATAATACTATTAGTAAATAGTAAATAAGATACTCAGTTTTAGACTTGAATCAATTCTAAAATCTTAAAATATTTTTAGGCAGAATGGCTACCTAAGTCATCAAAGTCATCTAATGGCCTTTCCCAACTCCATTTCAAGCTTTGTCTTTTAATTTGTTTCTCTGATGAAGTTTCTCATTCTAGGACATGTATCAGGGTTTTGGTAGATGGTTTTAATGCCTTACAGGTATCTGGAAAAAACACTTCCTCATATTCTGTGCTTCTCTTAGTAGTAAAGGACAGAATTTCAGTTTCTGTTTTAGAAACTATTGGTGTACATACAGTGTTTTGGGGTTTTCTTTGCTGCATAACTACTGCAAATAACCATGTCCAGGTTTTCACTCTATATGAAACTGCTGAGAAATTAGATTTACTAGCCTTTTCTGAACAGCCAGAAATTAATTAAGTATTGGTATATGAGACTGACGGAACTGTAATTCCTTGCAGTCTGTTTTTAGAAAATGTGATTAAATTAAACTTTCTTTTTTCCCTCTCTGATTTAGGATTATGAAGAAGAATCAGACGATGAAAAACACTTTAAAAATAGCTTGTCCAGCTTCTCTAGCCAGAGAATCAGTTCATTTGTTGGTAAAGCTGATCAAGGCCGTTTGGAATTTGCATCAATGTTTGATACTATTCATGCAAAAGATGTTACTGAAGAAAAAGATAACTTATCAGCAGAACTAAATTCTATTGAGAAAAATCTCCTTACTGCCTGGCAGATAGGAGTTTCAAAAAATATGGAAGAGAAAGATACTTTGCTGAATTATACAGTAAACTGCTTTACCCATTTTTTCAACATTCTGCAGTTCATAGAAGGCTCTTCACTAAATCAGGATGCATTTTTAAATAAGTCTTTGAAGAATACTCACTGGATGTATTATGTGTTAAAATATTTTCAGCAGTGTTTAACTCTCCTTTATGGGCATTCAAGAGCCAGTCTGACTGTGCATGTGGCAAAGCTGACGTTACAAACTATAAAACTGATCCTTACTCACCAGCAGGATGAGGTGTTCTCAGAAAACCTTTTGGCATGCTTCTGTCTTCTAAGGATGGTTTCTCACACTCTCAGTAGCATGTGTGTACTACAAAATGAGGTTTTTTTTGCATCTCCTGTTGTTAATAGTCTAGTGGAGCTTGACTCCCTTGTGGTGCCTATTTTCCTAGCTCTTGGTGAGAGTGCTACTCAACAAATCAGCTCTCTAAAATCTCTGCTCAGAGAGACCCCTCAAGTAATAAATCACAATGGCAAGACAGAAAGAAGGTACAGCTGATCTCTGTATGAAAAAATATTTGAACTACAATTGTATTTCTTATTTATAGAGTAGCTATAACATTCTTTCTTTCTTTTCTTTTTTTCCTGTATTGTACTCTGTGGAAAAATCTTACAGCCTATTAAAGTACACGGATTAGGGCTCATACCTATAGCTGAATGTAATTCGGTTATGAGAAATTAACTAGTTACTGCCAGTGAGCTGAGAGATAATTAGAGGGATAACAAGTTGCACCAGCTAGCCTAGTAGTACATCATCAGTCCAAGTATCGCAGTTTCACGAGCTTGTGGCAGAACTGAGTAGATCTATTTAATACTCCTGTAGGCTGCAAGGACTTGATAGCTCTAGGTTTGTGTTCTCTGATCAGGTTTTTCACAGGCTTTATTTTATTTTATTATTTTTTTTAATGCTCTTGGTATATTGGTATTTTTTAATTTATAAAGACTGTGTTATCTGTTTTGAAGGTTTACTGAAGTTATTTCATTTCACTATTCTTTAGAGCTTCACGATTTCATTTTGAAGCCAACATTTGGGTGCTTGAAGTAGATTGATTTTTCTGCGCTTACATAGACATAACACTGGTGATAAAAAAGCAACACTAGGACAAAAGTGATTTCTCCCTCCCTTTTATTATAATATATAGAATTGTTTTTAACATAAAACAAAATTAAATTTTTAGATCCATAAAAATATATTTTTTTTATATAAATTGTATACAGATTGACCAGAAGTATCTTTGCTAACCTTTTTTCTTTTTTTTTTCCATAATATTACATTTCTTGAACTACAGGTTGACTGTACTATGGCAGTTATTATATAATAAAGTTGTTTGGTATCAAACACAGCTGAACAGAAAAGCACATAAGAATGCAGATGAAGAATCTGTTGTCTCGTCACTTTTAAGTCATATACAAGCAACCCTCCAGTCTTCAGGAGTGACCTTAGAACAACATTTAAAGCTTAATTCTGTAGCTGGTTAGTACTTTGGAAAGAGCTTTGTACTGAATAATAAGTTGCAATTAAGTTGGACCTAGTAACTGACTTTTATCAGCTTAAATAATTAGTTAATAGCAGGACCTTTCTAACAATTCCTATCAAGAGTTTCTCTTAAATGTTTTGTGTCCCAGTGCATCTCTGTAGGATCCTTCAGAGCTTTTGAACTCTACTCCGATTAAAAATAATAACTATGTAATAAAAAGATCACATTGACTTCTATTCGATATGCATCGCACTCAAGATTTAAAAACAATCTGAAAGCAACATCTGAATCCTGATTTGGATTCTTGTCCTGTCTTATTTCCACTGGGTAGATGGGCATCACAATATGTCACTTAGAAGATTTCTAAATAGATGTCCCCTTTTACTTTGTGTGATCACTGTGGGCACAAACATGTCATGTGTGCAAAAATGTAGTCAGCTTCTGTGTCTAATATAGTATGACCTGATCTAATAGAGTTAATGTTGCATGTTTTTTCTGCCAGCAGAAAGTGGTTACAACTTCATTTCCTACACATTATTGTCATCTGTTTACTCTGTCTTCCTTTACTCCTCCACTCTTATAAGGCCCATTTCTCAGTTATGTCTCCCATCACAATACTCATCTTTTCCTTATCACTAACCTCTCATCCTGGAATGATGCTTCTAGCCTCTCATATATCACTCCATACAATACATTAGCTCCTTCAGATGTCTCTTTGATCCCATCAGTATATGAATCTTTCCAGCACTTTTGTATGTTCTTTATTTATCTTCTTAAGTTGCCAAATACATAACATGCATATTAGGGACAAACTAATCATATATGCACAGCTGAGCCTGCCGATATGTCTGGCTAGCTGCTAAATAAGCACAGCGGTGAGTGGCAGATCTGCCCTTGCTTCTCCTTCTGTGGTGGTACTAACTTTTTACCTTTCTGCTCTGCCCAGAGTGTATACTTTTGTAATTTTTTATTTTATGCCATGTCTAGTTTTGTGTTTACTGCTGTCATTCCTTTCCTTTCTTTCTTTTTTTTTTTTTTTTTGGTCTTTTTTTTGCGTGTTATTTTTTCCTTTTTAATATATGAGGGGGAAAAATATGTTTTCCTCAAACTAGAAACTGTTATTATTCATTTATCTATTTGCCCTAACTTTAAGAAATAGAAATATATATGTGATAATCTACCTTTCTGCCAAACTAGTTTGCAACTGACCAATGGACTAAAATAGGAGTGGCGATAGATGTAGAGAGATGAAATTTAGAGAGATGAAATGTGTAACACTCCATAGACCTGAGGTCCATAGTCAGTGTGGAACAAAATATACATTCAGTTTACTAGTATGCATTCAGTTTTACACCTACTTTTTTACAATGAACTTATTTTGCATTATATGAAATATGAAAATGGTTAAGAAAAAATGCTTTTCCCCATTAAAAAATTATTGTGGGTTTGATCAGTGAAATATCTAATTGTGGTCATGCTTATGTGCATATGTGTGTGTGCGTATGTAAAACTATGTGAAACTTTTAACTTGCTGAATGTATGCTTTTAAAGGTGAAGAGAAGTTCCTTTTAGGCTCATACAGAGAATCTGTGGATGAATGGAAAAGATCTCTTTGTGAAATCAAAGCAAATGGTAAGGGATAAAATAATCCTTTTTTAACGTATTTCTGTAATCAATTTACATAGTTAATTATGATATTTTTCTGGCTCTTCAGAAAGGAAGTCAGATTAAAAATGATAAAGGATACATTTTTTAAATTCAGCTGACATGAAGACAGACCAGTCAAAACTCAACTTGATTGCTCTCTAAAAAAATTCCATGCATTTCTATTTTGGCAAGGATTTCTTAAGGACTAAAACATATTTGGTCCAGAAAAATTTCAAGTAGATTTCTGAATAAGAAAATAACAGTGAAAGACAGGTGAACACAAACCAATTGTTATGATAGTGAAACCAGAAGACTTTGAGTGTTTGGGGAGCAACAAGACTAAAAAGAATCTATGACCAGAGTTATTGTGGGATTTGGTTGGAAACAGATATTCCAAACTTCTCGGAGATCAGGAGATCTTTTTTTTTAGTTCCTCTCATTATTAGGATGAGGAGTACCCCATTCAACACTATGTAGAAAGAATTCAAGATATTTGAAATTTCATCTAGTAAAGGCAAGTAATGCTATCATCCCCTGAGCTGTGCTGTCTTTGCTTTGTCTTAACAATTACCTTCTGTGCACCTCAAGAAGTGAAACTGTTAAGAATGAACACTGACACTGCAATATGTTACAGATTTAAAGAAGTTAGTGCCTCCTAAAATAGGTGCACCTGAGTTCTATTCGCTGTATTACCAGTAGCTTCTTGGAGTATATGTTTGTGTAGATGTGTTTTTTGGAGAGGTAGGAAGTTGTACTTTCGGACCTGCTATTTTGTTTCTGTGTTTACTATTTCTTTTCTTTTTCTATTTTTTTTTTAAATTTTATTTCTTTAATGTAGGAGGACGAAGAGCATGCTTTCTTCAAAGTAGATACTATCTTGCTATATTATTTTGCCACTTGTATCACTATAACTTGTGTGAGGCTCAAGGACTCTGTGATCATCTGGTAGGAGAGATTCTAAGGCGATCTCAGCTCTCAGTAAAGCAGATGGCTACTTTTTCTGGTAGGTTACATAGCATGAAAGTAAAGGCATAGTAATGTGTTAATATTGTTTCAATGACCTAGAGTCTGATTTTATTGCCATCATTACATACACTATTATTGCTATTTATTCTAGACGAGTCTGAGGTCTGTTTTCAGTTGCCTTAGAAATCTTTTTCTGGCCCTGATGTTCTTTTACTTGCAGTTATTGAATTTGCTGTTCAGACTTTTTTTTTTTAATTGTGTAATTTACAGTTAAAGAGCTGTGACTTGGAGCTGATCTGAATTTGGAGGTTAGGAGTCCCATCTGTATTCATTAGAAACCTAGTATAAAAGTCTTTAATACTATTTGTAATTAATGAAAAATATTAAGCACCGTAAGTCCTGGAAGTTTGTCAAGAAGTTAGGTAGTATTAGTGTTGGCTTGTTTAAAGGAACTGTTTGATAAGCTGCAATTAAACATTTAGGGCATTCAAATTTAATTTTCCTCTGAGTGTTTTAATTTTACCTCTATTTTTTTTTAGATAACAAGTATTCTCAGCATGAACTGTGGAGGATAACAGATGTTCATACTGAAGCAGCTGTGGCTGTGATTCAGTCCATGGCACGATTCATGGCTGCTTATTTCACAAATCAGCTGCTTTATATTCTTCCCCCACACAATGTTGACATCCTGCATCCGCTTCACATCAAACCAGGTATTTTCTTTCAAAGTAGTTTAATTTGTGGTGCTTATTTTTTTTTATCTATATTTAAGTGCTAAATATAATGCTTTAACTTTGTGGCTAGTATTTTAGGAGTATCTGAATTATGTAATCCATATGTTAATTTTTTTTTTATGTTCACTTTTTTGTGCTTTGCAATTAGTGATTTAAATTTCATATTTAAGGAAAATAATGCTTTTTGTTCACACAAACTGTACAACAATATGATTTTACAGTTTTTGCACTATTCTTTTGCTTAGACATATGGCTCTGACTTTGATCCTCCCAAAATGGGAAGAAAAACAGTGCTTTAAAAATTTAAAACTATTCAGACTGGGGTCTTTTGTGGAATAACCCAAAGCAAAAACCCAGATATTTTTTTCCCCCTCTCTTATTCAGTAAGAATAGTAACAATCAGGCTTTTGGGGACTTAAGTTTTTTAGACACCGCAGTATCAGAACAAGTGGATTTGTCATTGAACTTAAGTAGTTATGAGTTTAAGCCCTACTGCCGGCATTTTTCTGAGAATGGGCATTTGTCGCAGTGGATTTTTTTGTGTATTTTCTGCAAGAGACTCTGTCTAAAGATTTCCCTTCATAGGAAAGTTTTGGTTTCAGAATTAAGAATTCAAAGTGATTTAATTCCCACTGGCATAAAAAAGTGTCATATTCAAAGTGTTTTAAGTACTTTAATACTAAGTTAGTATTGTGATGTCATAAATTGCTCTATAATATTAACTTGAGTGCTAAGATTTTTCTAAAATTACCTGAATAACTAAATTATTTTTAATATTCCTGAGCTGCAGCAGACAGCAGTATGCATTTCTGCATGTTCTATGTGGTATTTTAATCAGACATTTTTTCAGACAGAACATAGAAAATAAGACCTTGATTCTGATACTTGAATTATTCATAAATCCATGTAAGTAGTGTTTCAGAGAAAACTTATGTTCCACAAGCAAGTTCACTGTGGATATTCCCATAGTTAGTTAATAATGTCATTAACACTCAACATCAGTAAATAGGGTGGGAGAAGCAGATCACTCTTTAGAGTTCCCATTGATTAGCTATGTTACAGGTTTCTTGAACATTTAAGGCACCTTTTTATGGAAACTTGGATATGAAACCTTGGAAAACAATTTAAACCTCAGAAAACAATATAATATGAAATTCGTCGTTAATCTTCTCTCCTAAAATTATGTGCTATTCTTTCCCCTGAAATTCACTGTACCTTTTTATTCTCCTGTGCAATAAGGAACCTATGAGTATACATAACATAACAGTACATTTCCTACATAACAGTAGGAAAAATCTATTTACTCTTTTTCTCAAATGTACCATTTACAGTATCACCAGCACATTTAGGATATTCAAGTATTCTCTCAGTATGACTAAATATTTTAAGAATCGTAAATAAATCTTGCACATGGTCATATACACCATGTAACTAAACAGAGAAAATAATCTGTTCTGAACTTAATATTTTATCATAGTATGAGCTGCATCTTCCTACTGGCAATTAATCCTGTAGCACATCTCTAATAAAGCACAATTACTAAAGCGCTGAAATGAATGAGAAGACAGTGTGAACAAAGCTTTGTAGTATAGACTCTGGATTGCTTAAATTGGAGTGCATATTGTAAGATGAAAATTAAGAAGTGATTTTGTGCCTTAGATGTATTTCCTCGTGTTGTTCCCCTGCAACACTCCTTGGTTACCAAAGCTGTGATAGACCAGAACCTTTCCTCCGTGTGGACAGCTGACTATGCTCTTGACTTGTTCTTTGTTGGTGGACTCATTCCAGAGGCTGTGTGGCTAACACACAGGCTTGGGGACTGGAAAGTGTCTGCTTCAATTGGTGTGGCCTACAGTCTGTATTTTCAGAACTCTGATCATCGCTCAAGGTAAGCTGGGGCTTGAAATTAATATAGCACGTTTTGTTAAGCAACTTTTTTTTTTGCAGGCATATGCTTTGATTTAAAAACTTTTATCTCTAAATTTTTAAAAGCATCTAACACATTATGCTTGGTTACTGTGTTACTTAGATTCATCATTTTAGGTTTTTTTTTTTTTTTTAGATTCTCTATGATCTTTTTTAATGAACAATTTCTTGATATGCTTTCAGACTGAAAACGATGGAATATCAGCTGCCATTAAGCTTATCACCAACACTGACTTTTCAGGAAAAGTTGCAGTCTTTGTTAGGACAACCAGTTACTTCTGAAATAGCAAACGAAGGAGATACTAACTACAAGCAGTTTACAGGTACATAAAATTATAAATAATTTTGTTTATTCCTCAAGTTATTTCAGTCTTAGTACATGCTATAAATTGTCTTGAAAGCAAGCAAGCATCTGTTCTTCACTGGCATGTGTATTACTAGGATGCAAATATTTTACCTTTCTGTGCTTTCGAGTTTTGGCTTTTATCAGTCTAAAAATAGACCCTATTATCATTCTTGCTTGGCAGTCTGGGGAGAATGTTACAGTGTCATTCATGACATGCATGCAACCAAAAATTTTTTTTTACACAATGCTTTGAAATTTTTGTAAGGCCATATAATAGTCCCTTCTTTGCACTTAACAGATATAGTCAAGTAAGATGCTAACATATATTAATTTCATTTTGGAAGAACTGATGCTTCATTAAAACAATCAAAAAACTACCTTGAAATAAATGTGAATATACTAACAGTATGGAAGTCCTTATCACGCTTGTATTAAAATTAGTTGCCTATGTTCTTTAATTTTTGCTTTTTCATTACTGCTAAGATTTTCTCCCTAACTATATCAACTTGTCCTATGTATATTTCACAGAAAGCTTACTGTTATAATCCCTATTCATTACTCTTTTCTGTGTGTTGTGAAGCACCGTTTTAATTGCCTGTCAACATGTGGATGTCAGGTTAATTTTTATCAGATTACAACCACTATCTAGTTTCTTCTTTTGTATTCAATTCAAAGGATTTTGTTTTTAAAACACATGCATACCTGTACCCATGCACATACACATACACACAGTATATAACCATTTATAAATAGAGTAGTACTGAAGAGACTTGGTAAAAAAAATTGCTTCAGGAAAAAGTAGAACATATAGAAGTGGAGCAGTATTCAAATTCCAATAATCAATGTTGTCTATTAAAGGTTTTTGAAATTTGAAAGGTTTCATGAAATTATATAAAAAAAACAAAAAAAAAAACCATAATTCCCTGCTCACTGATAAAGTAATTGTTATAGTTATAACACACAGAATTTATGCCCGTTGAATGAGAATGATTTTCCAGAGTTTTATCACAAATAATTTGTTGGCTGAAAAGCTTAATTCTCTCTAGAAAAGCAATACTTTTTCCTTAATGAGGCAAAGGTCTCCAATGGTTCCATGCAGACGATGCTTCGGTAGTAACATGGGTGAATTGAACATGTGCTCTAGGTGTCCCTGCTCAAGCAGGGCTGGTCTAGATGATCTCTAGAGCTCCCTTCCAATGTCAGCCATTCTGTGATTCTGTGTGTGATTCTGAAATACTATTTTCAATTGTCAGGAAGCTTATCTTAAAGCAAGGCAGTGAAGTTTTAAATTGTTATAGATGAGTGTGAGTTATAGTGAGAAAGCTTCATAATTTAAGGGTGAAGGGCATTGTTAATTGAATTGACTAACTTATCAGTTTCTGTCCTTAATATTTTATAGATCCCATTGAAGAAGAAGATGCAAATATTCTTTATAGTTCAGTACAGGAGCTATTGAAAGCTGCTGTTATGTCAGATGCTGATATTCTCTCAGAGACATTTCAGCTTTTGATGGATTCTGGAAAGGATGTTGGCAAAAAGCTGTTTGGTTTAGTTCCTGAGGGGTTTTATCTTCCAGCACCACCCTTGTACTGTCCTCAGCCAGCTTCTCTCAGTGAAGTAAGCATGTGTGATAGAAGTTTGGGGGGTAATGGTTTGAATATGTTTCTTAAATGATCTTATTTTGTAATCTGATTCCTTGTGATTCTTTCTTTTTTTTTTGTCTAAATGTTTTTTGTGTCCACTGACACACACGCTGATGTGTGTCTCTTCCTGTGTTTTCCATAAAGAACTGTACTGTGAAATGCCCATGTTGAAGTTAAGAAATAATGTTCAAGTCAGATTCCTTATTCTTTATATCACTGTGTTGTTTTTGGCTTGGATTTTGGATTTTTCAGGAAGATTGCAATGATATTCTTCTGAAGATTGAGAGGCAAAGTCGTCAGAAAGTGTCAGGAGTTCTGCAGCGAATTATCTTGCTCTTCCGGGCTGCTCGTTGTTCCTGCCCGGCTGCACAGTGGTATATTGCACAACTGAGGAGAGCAAGAAAAGTTATGCAAAAAGTAAGCAATAAACTTGCTGTTTGTGACTTGATTATAATTAGTAGATATTACTGGCTCAGCAGGCTCACAGTTGCGTTGCAGGATCATTTAGATTCATCTTGATTCTGATAATGTCAGGTGTTTTTAGAATATCTTCATCTACAGTTTTATACTCCATGTTCAGCTCTTTTAGCAGAACCTACTTCTTTCTGAAGTCTCTTTCTGTGTCTCCATTTGAAAGATACAAGCTCTTTCTAGTTGGGAGTTACAACTGCTATTGCTGGACATGTGTTCCAGATCATTAAGGATTGAGTACATAATGGAGAGATGTTCACTTAAGGTAAAGCACAAGGGTAATGGTCGCTCATGCATAGAGCTGGATCAGGAACTGCTCTAACTGACAAGTATTTACCTCTTCTTGCTCACTGCATGAGGTGGCACAGGCACGTGGTGAGAGCAGCTGACACAGGAGAGAAAGGTAGTCTGCCTTAGTTGGCAGCAGCCTGCACTGTGCTGGATTCGAGTGGCCACATTAATGTGGGTGTAGTCTTTCTAATACATTACTGTTCAGGTGGTTCACAGTTCTTGTAATTGTCATGTAGACTAAAGCAGCCTACGTACCAAGCTCATACTAAAAATATTCCTTTAATTTTCAGAATACTGAATTGAAGAAAGCAGAAACTAAGCTTAATTCTACCTATCTTGACAATATTCTACTAATTACTGAGAATCTGTAGTTCAGTAGTGATATGCTTTATTTCAATTTTGACATGTTAATGAAAGGCTGAATTAAAATTCTGATTTGTAGTTACAAGTACAAATTGGTGAACTGTATTTAAGTATAATTAAAATCTTGAAATTGTTTTATATTCTTTTAATCGTCTACAGATTCGAATGAAAGGATCTCTGCCTTCACTGGCTCCATTTCCAGAGAGTTTGTTTCGTTATTCCAATTTTCCTACTGTATTCAATAGGCCAACATCTTCTGGAGGCCATCAGTTTGATGACATTTCCTGTAAAATTTTAGGTGTGTATGCAATAAAATAGACTAATTCATAGTTGGAGAAGAACAGAAAAGGGTCTGCAGGTACAAAAAAAACTCCAGTCATCTTAAAATGTACTGTAACATCTACAAAAACGTTTTCTGTTTTGAGCATTTAATCCTCTTAGTTGTCAGAGTCTTAATCCAAAAGTTCCTGTTTTATATTGTTGTTTGTTAGAGGACAGATTAAAAAGATCTATTAAGTGGAACTGCAGATTTTTAGCGGTGGGATGCTATAGGAACATCAAGGCTGAGGCTTTTTCTTTTTAATAACGATAAATAACGTTAATTCTTTTCCTCAAATTAGAAATGTCAAGCTGTGTTATTATTTAAATAGAACTTCTCACCACATTGCACATTTCTCTTATAGGCTGCTTCAGAGAACTGTGTGCATTTTGTTGGATGTTTCATGTTCGTGAGAGGTTATCTCACAGTTGTAGGAGGTACCAAACTGCAAGAGAAAATATGAGTAATAATAAGGTGATTATGTTACTAATATTATAAAGCACAGAACTGTAAGATGAATTCTAAAGATTTTCTGTAAGTTTGTGCTGAGGAATCTTGTTTGCTTAGTAGGGCAATATCAGTATAATGAAATAACATGTAGTAAGTATATGATGCCACAGAATAATGCAATCCATATAAAGTATCTTTCTAATGGCATTTCTGTTGGTCTTTGGCATTATATTTAATTTCACTAATTAAATAGATATATTGCCAAAATGCCATATTTTCTGTGTTTGCTATATAGCTATTAACTCCTTTTGTGTTCTTATTAATTTTTTTTTTGATATTTCCTGGCCAATGTATATTTAATGTGCTGTGTTTCTCTTCATAATGTAAATTTTATGGTAAAGTTTGAATATATTGCCAAAATGCCATATTTTCTGTTTGCTATATAGCTATTAACTTATATTTTTCTTTATTAAGTTTTTTGGGTATTTCCTGACCAATGTATATTTAATGTGCTATCTTTCTCTTCATGATGTAAATTCTATAGTAATGGTTGAGTATTTGGTATGTTCAAAAAAATGAAAGAGTTTAAATGACATTTTCTCTACTAGCACAGGAGCATGATAAAAGCTTTTCAGATGGTATTAATACTATTAATACTTAAAAAAAATTATTTGGTATGTTCAAAAAAATGAAAGAAGTTAAATTACATTTTCTCTAGTAGCATAGGAGCATGCTGAAGGCTTTTCAGATGGTTTCATTATCTTGTCTCTCAGGAAGAATTGATGATTGTCTTAAATGCTTAGGTTTCATTCTAAATAACTTCAAGTGGGTTCTTTAGCAGAGGGTTTTCAAGTTATAGTCAGTTACAACCTTGTTTCTGTATCCTGGCAACATATTCTTCTGTCACTGGCAATTAACTTTTTATTTCCTGTTAGATAAGGAAGAATACTTAAAATTAAAAAAGTGTGTGAATAATTTAACTGAAATTTATTGTTCATACCAATTAACATTTATATAGCAATTTCTTTTTTTAGGATCTTAAGGAGAATGAGTATGATGCCTCTATAGTTGAGCATGGTCTGAATGCAGTGGAATGGGCTTGTCGAATGCTTCCTTTCTGCAGGTTCATGAATGTTGAAGAATTAGTTCAAGATATAATTTTGAGTCTTCTTGGAGAATTGCCACCAATCAAAAAGGTAAAAAGGAACTAAAGGCAAAACAAAAACAATAGAGATTGTCTCAAGCTTTTCCTCTCCTTATCAATGCTGCTGCTCAGACTTTTTTGGTCATGCACGTTCTATTGGGAATTAAAACTTACTTCTCTGTCAGTAACTTGAAAGGAAGCTTTATTTTGTGCAGGTGGCAGAAATTTTGGTGAAAGCATTTCCTAATTCTGAAGATGTAAGAGTTCCGCTAAGGGATAAATATCACGCTCTTCAGCAGCATCTTGAACGCTGTGTTGTTAAAGGTAATGTGCATCCTTCTTCGGGAAATATTAAATGAACTTGCGACTCTCCAGCTTTCATGTCTCGTGTAAAGCAGTTATTGTAGCTTTCAGTTACACAAATTTCATAAAGTTTTGTGACAGATTTCATTGTTTCCTTTCTGGTATTTCTCTGTGAATAATAGAATATCACAACTTCAGAGTTGATGCTGTTTCTTCCCTTCATTATATTTGCAGCATTTCTGCATTATATATGCTGCATTTCTTAATGACACATAATTTATGATTGATTATTTTTATTTTTCTTAATTTGAGAGAGAAAATCAAAACAGAAGAGTTTTTAAAATCACTGTGTTTCTGTTTAGGTCCCAGTGGTGAAGAAATGATGCCATGTGTTATACAGACTACTGAGAAAGTGAGAGTGAAGGCCTTGAAACGTGTAATAAGGAACATAGGTCCCATTGAAATTAATATCTGGGAGCCAGCAGAAGAGGGGGCAGCAGATGATGAAGCACATTGCTATGATGGGCTCTCGCTAGGGACTAGTCTGAGCAGAAGCACGCTCACTGATCTTGGGATTCCTCAGGTATATAGTGATGCTGAAACAGCAGATACGCTTTCCGATGCTTTGCTTACTGATGAAGTAAGAGACCAAACACCTTCACCTCAAAGGTATGAAAAAATTGGCAAGAAGAAGCTTTCTGTGATGGTGGGAAGGTTTTCTTTTGTTCCAATAACTTTTTCACCATATAGGATAACTGTTATTAAATTAAAGCCTTCTAGTAACAGTTATTTTTAGGACTGCCAATGTTATTTCAATTACTATGCAGTATATGTTCATGAAGTTTAAATTACTAGCTAATCAGATTCATATGCAATACTGCTGAGTTACTGTCCATGTGAGAACTAGGTGTGATGGTTAACTGATGATTAATTTGCCACTTAAAAAGGTATTAATGTAAACTTGCCTTTGTTAGTTTCCAATTTTTAACACTAGAGAGAAAAGGAGTACTACTGCATTTATGTATCATTTTCATGTAATTCCAGAGTTATTCATACTTCTGTCTATCTGTTGTCTTACAGGGGTAATGAACCCAAGAGAGGAGGAGATTTAAGTAGCAAGAATACTACTTGCAACATAAGAACTCTTAACTGGAAAAAAAAGCATAAAGAAAAACTACATAGAAGAAACTCACATAACCAATGTAATTTGCCTATAGTTGGTGCATGGGAATTTGAACGTGATGATGACGAATATGTTATTTTCTTAGAACTTTTTCTGAGTTATGTTCTTGAGAGAGACCTGATAAATTGCAGTGACCTTGGAATTCCATTTCTTACTAGCTTTTCAGGACTTCTTAGAGAACATGAATTGAACTCTCTCATGTTTGATGTTCATACAACACTAAAACGTCGACAAGGCAAAACAAGAAGCCAAAGTGTGTTTAGAGCAGGATCTTGCTATACTGTCACCCTGGCATCTTCCAATCCTGAAACAGTTTCTGCCCATAATGAAAACCAAAATATTGTGGAAAGTCAGGTTTCTGTTGTACAGTCAAAAGAATCAACAGAATCTTCTCATCACAACTTAATGAAAGGATTTGATAAAGGATTGTTTGGTTTAAAACACAAGTCAATTTACAGAACTCAGGATGATAGTCAAGAAGTAACTGTTGCCCCAGCAAGCCAGGCCTTTCCCAACCATATTTCCAGTAGCTCACAAACTCTGCTCACTTCTAAATGTATTTACAAAACTGTTGATATACTTGACATTGTACCAGGAGATGAAATACCTCTAAAATTGATGGATAAATTTAGCAATATAGCAAGATTGCTTGAGTGGATGATCAGGTGGTCCGATAAAAGACTGCTCTGTGGTTTCAATAAAGAAGATTCTTTAGAAGAGAGTGTCCCAATGATACATGTGAAGACATCAGCTGCTGCTGTCCTTACTTCGTTATGGCTTTTAGAGCAGCTATACAATGATGGATCACAAGCAAGAAACATAAAATTTAAGGTAAGAAAGAAATTAGGGATATGTCAGTGAAATGTGTGAGCTATTTATGCCAGTAAAGAAAATAATACATTATATTTTTTATCTCATAGGTATGTTCTCTGTAGAACACAGAATGTTAAGTAATAGCTTTTCCTTTATGGGATTGCTAGGAAAAAAAAATTCCATGAATACCAAAGTTCTGTAGCAAGAAAAGCCTCTTTAAAGCTCTCTTTAAAGCCTCTTTAAAATCCAACCTATTTATCTAGCTACAATGGTGTGTGTGAGCAATTTAGAAGTTAAATTATTTAGCTATTTCTAGACATCATATTTGAAAAAAAATAGAATTTAGGGGTAGCAAAGTAAGAAAAAAGCAAGATGTTTAATTAAGAAATATTTTGTCTGAGGAGACCCAAATTTTTATTTCAGAGGTCAATACAGCTGCAGTCAAGCTGAAGTATTGGTGAAGAGTGAGTTTTGAATTAACATTTTTTAACAGATTTGGAGAATGTGTGTTAATAAAGAAGAAAAAAATTCCTCAGAAGTATCTGGTGCACTTTATTTTGGGGGGCAGCTGAACAATTTTTCTTCTTTCTCTATTAAATTGTCACATACCAGCAGTGATTAAGTGATATTTTATAATTGCTTTAGATAGTCAAAGGACCATTCCTTGGTGAAAAAAAGGGGCAAAACTCAGCTTCTGTGGGCAACTGTCTGGAATTTCTCAGCACTGTAGTAGAGAAATGATATGAAATTAAGCAAAAATATACTATGTGAAATAGTATTTTTAAAATAAATATTGAATAACTTATTTAACCTTTTTTTCCCCTTTTATAGCATCAGTTTTTGAAAGGATTTGCATCTCCATCAGAAGCACAACCTAAGACAGAGAAAGAAAGCACAGAAAAAGAAAGCACAGTTGAAGGCTCTTTTGCATTGACACATCCTCCACTCGATGTCCAGTGCAAAACTCTCGCAAAAGCCTACGATGACCTCTGTGAAAGTGATTTGGGGTATTTTTATTTATTTTTTTTAACCGAAGAACTGTAGTTGATCCTAGCTCCTCAGTTGAGCAGTATATTGATATCCTGTGGTTATACTGTACGTACGTACTCTACACACAAATTAGTCTGAGTATAAAGCCAAAATCTGAGTTCACATACCTTTACAGCTGCATGAAATAGGCTGTTACTTTGCTAAATATTACTCCCAAAGCATGATCTGTATAAGTATTAAGTATATCCTGTTCTTAAGAATCTGTAAAAGTCAGTAATTCCACTGGAAAGTTTAAGGTGTTCTTTTCTATAGTGTGATACCTGTTACCAACTTTACAAAAGCTTTTTATTATGTCTTATAAAATTGCATGCCGTTGTGTCTTGTCAAGTATTTATAATGCCCCAAATTTATAATACAAAATTTTCAGGGAATACCAGCTATAAATGATTTTGGTTTGTTCTGTGCTCATGTCACTTTTCATGATGTTCAAAAAAAATTTAGTCTCTTAAGCACTATTAGCTTTAGCAGTGTGGCAAACTGGAAGTTTTGCATATTGTCACATTGTTGGTATAAGAATATATAGAAGAGTATATAGATTTTTATATAGAAATCAGGAGTGAAACTTAGCATTACTCTTGAGATAAAGCAAAGGAGATTAAATAGGGTATTAAACAGAAATTAGAAAATGATGTAACTGATACATATGAAGGGATATGTTTATAGCATGATTCGTTTATGAACATGACTATTCATGATGTTAGTAATGTGGAAATGGTAGATATGATATAATTGATACCGAGATTTCTCAGATAATTCAAATAACTACATGGAAGAGAGTGAAATTTTTCATTGTGTTGAGATGAGAGTTTACAATGTTTCTCTCCAGCCATGGATTGGTAGCCTAGCATGTGTCCACATACATGCATGTGAGAAAAATGGATGGAAAAGGGAGTGAATATTTGTTAGTACCTTGAATTCCTTGAAAGATGCATAATCCAAAGAAATAAAAGATCTTCACTATTAGTTTTCTAAAACACTGATTCAAAAGTATTTCTTAAACATTTTCTGTGAGGGAAATGAACATATTCTTGGCTAGATATTTTCAAATCAGTGGATTTGGTGCAGTTTATGCTTTACATTTTCTTTATGTTAAATTGTTTTAACAATTAACAATTATGTTAAATTTTGTGTAGTTATATTTTCCACAATACATCCCATCTGAAATACTATACTATTAATACTTAAACAAAAAAGTTAATCTTGGTGTAAATGAAATTTAGAGAGCAATTTTATATGAGTGCTGATTGTATCACACCACTACTTATACTGCAGGTATACATTAGCCTGCATTTTGGGAGGAACAGTGTACAGACTTGCACTAAACTGAGTAGTTACCTTTTTTTTTAAATTACCTTTTGCAATTCCAATTACCAGAATGTCTACAAAGTCAAATTATGTTAAGAAGGAAATTAATCATGAGAATTATTCTGTACCTGATATGATTGAAGATCTTAATGAAGAGGGACCATTTCTTCAGAAGGAGTTAGAGGCAACATCAGAAAGTGAAGGTTTGTTCTTATGCTAAATCCTCTTAATGTAGTTTCACCCAACTCAATATAGTAACAGTTTTGCCTGACTAGGATTATACGTCCCTCTTTTTGTTTTGTTTGTTCTTTGTTTTATTTAATCAGAAATAGAAGAAAGCTTTTGTTGTTCTATTGAAATACTGTTTTATCAGTTTTAGATTCTAATTGCATTTTATACATTTGTGTTCTCAATACTTTTTCTGATCACTTTTGCATTTATGTAGCTCTTTTTTTGATATAGAATTATTCTGGTATGTTTATCATCTAGTAGTAATAATGCACATTTTAAATTGCTGAAAGGTCTCCCCCCTGTTTTTTCTTATTCAGGGAAAAAGTGGATGAATGTGACCAGTTCAATGCTTAACAGTGCTGTTCGTCAGGTAGTTTGCTGATTTATAATTGTGTGTTTTGCAGAGTTCTTCGAAGAGCCATTTGAAACTCCAAAAAGCTCCAGTAGCCCTGTCAGGATCAAACCTATAGAACAAGCAAGAGAAAAGGCAAGTTATCATCTCGCATAGATTTTTTTTAATGAATATTATTTTCAGAATATCCTGAATTCTTCAGCATATTTTTTAAAATTTAAGGGCTTAAAGAGTTTAAAATTGAGGGAGGTTTCTCTGCTTAAGCCAATGATAAAAATCCCAAGTAATTCATCTGGATCAGCTGTGAGCACTTCCGAAAATCTGGTTCAGTAGCTGTAAAACTTAAGTGTGTACAGGTCTATATAAACAATACATAGAAGTATAAATATATATGATATAAATGTATGTTGTTATAAATGCACATATGAATACACAAGTTGTCACAGTATAATTAAGCTAGACTCTACTACTTGTTTGTTTATTTCTACGTTAAATGTATAAATCTCACATGTATGAAAATGTATGAAAACCTAATCTGGTTCTTTAAATTACCCTTCGTTTCATGGATCATCTTCAGCCATGAGACTCTCTTTGAGATTGGCTATAGGTTGAAATCTTGAACTGCAGTAACATTAGTTTACTTTGCTGTGGTGCTCTAGATTCACGCAGTGAATAGAAATAGTATACATATTGTGATCGTCAATTCTACAGTGCATTTTGTTTCAAAGCAGTGAATCTATGTGATGTATAAAATTCTGAGTTTTTCTCAGTTTCTTAGTTTTTTAATTATTTTGTTTAGAATAGAGTTGTTTCCACATTTTTTGTCCATATCATGAGATTACCAGAGTGTGATCCCAGACCATTATATGGATATAAATTTTTTAAAAAAACCTTAATATTGACTTTAAAAAAAATGGTCAGATAAAGCATTAGGATTTCTCTCGTATTTCTACACGTCTAGTCATTCTATGAAGGTTATTCAGATTAATTAGAATTTTTTAGTGGCTGGTGCAAGAAAAGTGTGTTTGCCATTAGCTGTTAGAATAATACTTTATTGAAACAGAAGGGTAGCAATGTAAATGTATACAAGTTCAGATGCATATTTTTATGTTCCAGCCTATCCCCATTTCAGAGGTAAATTGTCCACAGAAGACAAGAGTGGAAGACAAGGAAGATCAAAGAGTGGAAAAATCAGAGAAAAGAAAGACTGAACAGAATGGGTGAGAGGTCATTTTGTTTTACTTTTTCTGTTTACTTTGCTTAGGAAGGCAAGTACTTTTATATCTTACTGAAATTCAGTCTAGACTCAGTGGGTTCTCCCTCTTGATTATAGCAACTAACTCATAGTATGAAACAAACTTTCAACAACTTTCTATTTTGCATGTACTCTAACATGTTTTAAATAGCTTACCAGGGTGCTGGCTGGATAAGATATATTTCATTTTAAAGGTAAAAAGAATGTCAACTTTATATTTCAATTAGCTTTCTTCTTAAATTCTAATCTGTTTGCATTGATAATTTTTTCCCCTGATAAGCAGCCCCAGTGTCGTGATATTTAGAAAATCTTACCAGCTGTGATAGGATATAAGTAAATATTCCTCTGTGTGTAATGTTTGTTAAAAACAATTAATTTTAGAAAGACTTTAACTTTTCTACTGTTTTATGTTGACATTTCTTTAAAAAAAATCTGCACATAACATGTCCCTCTAAGTTTCTTTAGCTTTTCTCTCTTAGGAGTGCAGATTGTAATCATATTAATAGTACTGCTGAAACTGAATTTTCTCTTCTCAGATCAAATGCTCTGTTGCCTGGTGTTAGTGTGAGTTTCCAGAACCTGTTCAGTGCTTTTGTTTGAGTCAGTTCCTCATTGCTAGGGAGACCAAACAAGAATTTCAGTCTTCCCAGATCGAACTGCAGTGTTAATGGAGTAATAGAAGACACTGAGATCAGTATAGTTCCGAATACATTAGGTGGCTTTCAAGTAATTTATTTCAGGCTTTAATTTAAGTACTTTTTTTCAGGAGGACTTTTATATGTGTGTGTGTACACATGTGTGCACACACATACAGATAAATATGTACAGGTATTTATAAAAATATGAAACATAATTAATGTAGAAAATCATTGTAATATTTGCAATAGTAATTTTTCTTTCTTTATAGCATAACTGAAATGGTTCCTATTATTACACCTCATTCACTCTGTTTAGAAAAAGATGAGGAAATGTTCAGGTAAGGAAAACCTGTGCTACTCCTTTTAAGTCTTCAGTATTAAGTAAAATTATGTGTAGATTTAATTGTTTGCAACAAAATATTTGCAACTGTAGTATGTGTACCTGCAGACTGTACTATTCAATAGCCGTTCCTCAAATCTGTGTGTGCCGTAGCCCTTGAAAGTCATGAATGCTCAGAGGCTGTCCAGAATATCATATGAATCAAACATGAACTACTGAATTTCAAGAGTGTAACTCCTGTTTCATGTTTCCAGACTGAATCAGAAATGTCTTGGTGTCTTACTATTGTTTATGATTCAATATATTAGGGGTTGCAAGAAAACAATATTTCTTACATGCTTTCTAATAAAGATAATGTTGTGTCAGCTGTTAAATTGTCATTGTAAATTATCTATGCTTTAAGAAATGCAAATACATTTAACATTCCCTAGGTTGATTTAAGACAACCGAGTATAGGTATTCTGGAGTAAGAATGTCTTTTAATAGTTTGTTCTTTTCCTTCTGTTCTTAAGTAATAGAGAGATTTCTGTAAGTGATGGTCAGCCTTCTTTGACAGTTGTGTCAAACATATCAAGTATTGCCTCCAATGCATCCCTTTGCACAAAAAATCAAAAAGTAAAGAAGGAAACCTCCACAGCAGAGAAACAGAGCACATCGGAAACTGCCAGGCAGATGCTCCAAGATGAAATGCTTAAATTAGTCCAGGTGAGGACATTTCATTGTTGAAAAAAAAGTATACAGTCTAAACTGTGTTATTTAAGCAAACAGTAGGAAGAGTTACTGTTTTTAAGGTATCCTGTGTTTGCTTGTAGTTGACAGAGATTTGCAGTTCTACGTAGCCAATGTGAAAATATTTCAGATTTAACACGTGTTAAATAAAATGAATGATAAAATAACAGAAGTTTGGTCAATTTTAATTTACATAATGCAGTTTGTTTCATTTGTATAGATTAGGAAACGTCCTGAAGCTATAATGACTTTGTGGCTGTTCTAGAAATTCATTTTTGTTGGTATATTTAAACTATTCCATTTTGGTTTAGATTTCCTTAAACTTCACTGAAGAAAAGGAATAGAACTTCCTTTAGTGTAACTTGTCTGTGGACATCTCTTATCTCATAAAAGAAATTCCAGCTCACTAAACAGCCACACACAAATTATCATTGAAATTTGGGATGTTGTTTGTTTTGTCACTTATATTAATAAGATTATCAACAGCTATAAAACAGTAATTTTTGTCAAGATCTCTTTTTACACTGTTAACTCTGTTGGTGTCTCTGTGTGTATGTGTATCCTAACTACAGCAAATCAACTTCCTGAGCTTAATGCAAATAGTGCAGTCATCCTTTGCCAGCCTGCCAAATGTGCAGCAGATTTTGCAACAGTCTCAATCTGCTCAGCTGGAAGGAAGCCAACCTTCACACACCCCAAAAGGTGGTGTCTCTGAAAAATCTTCATGTTCTGCAAATGCTTCTCTAAAAACAAAACTGCTCACTCAAGGAGATAAAGGAAAATCTGATAAGTTCTTTGATTTTCAGCCAAGCAATAATTTAAGAGATGAAAGCAGCAATGGCCATACTGATGTAAGTATAACAGTGTTATTTATTAATTCTATTCTGTATATCTGATATCCTATCAAACTGGGAATAGTTTTGTAGTTGTTATCTTAGATAAATGCTATTTTTGTGCATATTTATTATGTGGTTCCTATTTCAATGTATTTTTAAATGCTGTTTTGTTTGCTTTTCATATTTAGAATCATCCAGATGCAAATGTTACTTTAAAGCCATTAGAGAACCACTCCAGTGAAACAGAATTTATTCCACCATCTCAAAATTTGCCTTATTCAGCACCTGTTAAGCCACTTCCTCTCTTGACTTCTTCCTCAAATGTTCCAAAAACACCCAAGCTTATCCCTATTGAAAAAAACCAGAATTGCTCAAATGGATTTCCTTTGCTTAAACTTGAATCAAGTTATCATTTCAAACCGCCGTATTTACAGCCAATAGAAAATTCCTCACCTTTTGCCAGACCACCCCCAGTGCCACGAGTCGCTTGGAATTCATCAGATCCTTTATGGAACCTTCAGTCATCATATACACCAAGAAAACTGAGCAAGTCAACAACACATTTGAATGCACGTGGGCATGACCCCAAGACGCTAAGGCAGACGTATAAGGAAGAGAAAAGATGGGCAGAAAATGTTCATGAGGGACCTTCTGGACATCAGTATGCAGGACGGCAAGAAGTTTTGTCTCAGCAGCAGTTCTCTGTGAGTGTGAATGTGGACAAAGCTGCCACGACCAAGAAGATGGCTGGTATTCCACTGCTGCGTTTGCCACTGGATCCAGTGCCTAAACTTATACCAGTTATAAGACAGCCAGTCACTACTACTTTGATACCTGTTAAACCTGTAACAAAGGAGACGGATTGCAGAGGAACAGTACAGCACACAGGAATATCATTGCTCTATGCTGATTTACCTCAAAAACAGAAGGTAATGCATTTGATGGGTATTTTTTAAAAGATTTTTTTTCCAGTTTCCTGGAAAAACTGGTTTCTCATTTATCAAAAATAAGTTAATGCTTACAGATTATGGAATTTGGAAGAGTTCAGTACAGCAGCCAGAAGAGATCTGGGAAGAAGGTTACTTTTATTGACCTGTCAATATGAGGCAGGAGGGCAGGCTTAGAAATGTTTGGAACAACCTTAGCGTGATTTCACATTCCATAGTTGGTCAACAGTCAGTACGTTGCATGCATAAAGAAGGTACTGGAGGTGATTAATAAAAGTATATAAAATCACAAGAAATGAAAAAAAAATCTTCTTTTTTAAAAAAATGAAAAACAATTGTAAACTATTGTTTATTTATAGACATGCAAAGAAAACTATAATATGTTCTATTTTGATAAGGACAGAAATGACAAAAATGGAATTGTAAGAATTCCACCATCCCCATCCCTGTTTCCTTTATCGCTGTTTCACTCTTGCTTTCCTGTCTGAACTCTTTCAGAGACCAGTGCTCATTCCACTTCAAAAACTTACTGCATTTGAGCAATGCCACCAGCATCATGCTGTTCCTGGTGCTTCCTTTGGACAGGATCAAGCCAAACCTATTCCGTTACTAAAAACCAACATAGAATCATTTGAAGCAAGTAATGTGCAGAATAGAAAAAGGCAAGTCAAACTCTTAAAATGGGCCTTCAGTTTGAAAGACACCTTATACCTGTGAAACCGATGGGAGTGTTTGCAATAGCTTCAAAGGAAATGGCATTGCATGTAATTTTGTTTGAAAAGATTAACGTAGTAAATGTTGGTAAATATTGAAGGCCCAGCAGAAGCAGTATAGCACTAGAGCATCAGCTTTTGCTTTTACTGGGAGGAAGGGAAGAATGTTCAAGGGGAGATGTTTTCAAGGAGTTTAAAAGGTGTAAATACAAATGATAATCTTTGCGACTATAGGACTATTTTTGTACCTGTTTATGCGAGTTGAATTTTATTGGTCTATTAGCTTTGTCCTGTTTCTGAAATGATTGCCTGATTATCTTTTTTTCAGTATATATTTCTTAATAGTAATCTTTCTTATAAAATGATGATAGATATTTATATTATGGAAATGCATTCTTTTTAATTTGTAATTAATGTGTTGACAGACAAAAGAGGCGTGATGAGAAACGACTGAAAGAGGAGGAGGAAAAGAAGAAACCCAGTGTGACCTTCTGCTCAGATGACAGCATCATTGATATTAGTGCTACAGAGATGATAGATGCATCAGCGATGGGGGTATAAATATTTTTTCCTTCACTTTTCTACATTCAGGCATTAACAGGAGAAACAAGGACGCAACAATTGCATCTTTTCCAGGTTCTTCCTAGAAACAGCACATATCTTTCATTAATATATTGCATTTCCCATAAACAGGAGATGTATAGAATATGTCTATGTATAACGGAAAATAGATTCCAAATTTGTTTTCTTTTCTTTATATGAATGCTTAACATAGAAGATGACTTCTGCCTTAAAAATACAAATCTTGCAAAACTGGAACATTTCTTAAGATTGTATGTACATTTAAAATATAAATTTAAAATGTATGTATATATTTAAAATGTAAATGTATATGCAAGTACTAATGAATAGATAAATTATTTCACCTAGAAATAATTCTATGAAAATTCTTTCAGGCCTTATTCTTTTCTCATGACTAAATGATTATTTAAGAGTCTCAGTTCATCTCACCTCTTGACTGAAACTGAGAAACTCTTTTTCCTGTTGTGTTTTGACTTGTAGTTTTTCTCACTGCTAGCTTAGGCCTTTTAACATGTTTTAAAATTTTTGAGGGTTATCCTGCCAGTAGTAGATTTAAATCCATGGTGTTCACTACACAGAATAGCAGCTTCTATGCCTGGATTGTAGCATTCTTTCCTTGAGTTTTTCCTAATTCAGCACAACAGGTAGAAAGCCTCATAATTGCTGAGAGATGCAGATTATTGTACTGCAGAAATAGCACGTCTCACACACTCAAAGAAGAATTAAGAGATTTTTATAGCATTCTGTCGCTTCCAGTTTAGTAGGATCCCCCCTTAGGATACGTAGTGGGAAAGAAGGATATATACTCAGTAATTCCACCAAGTAGAAAAGCTTGGACACACACACAAAAAAAGAGGAATAGTAAAGGTATGCAATAATGATGATTTTAATGATAATTTTAATGGCAACTCACTGGAAATATTTTGGAAAGTTACCAGTATCAAGAAATCCTGTAATTGTGATTAGATTTTTTTAAAGATTATTTCCTTTTTTTCATATGTTAGGATCAACAAGCCAAATCTACCTGTTACCTTGGAAATGACTTTTTCATTTCACCAGGTAAGTACACTTCTAACACATTTAATGTTTAATTAAAATAAACTGTCCAGAAGAATTTTAATTATCAAAGGAAAATTCATAGTAGCACAACTTCAAGATGTAGTAAATCAAATTCTAGTCTGTGAAAATATGGGCATATGGATCTTTCCCAGAAAAGTTAGGAAATCTTTTCAAGATGCAAAATAGAAATTCAGTTCAGTTCAGTTTTTGGATGGTTATTTTGTGGAGATTGGTGTGGACAGAGCTGTAGGCACATTTAAGGTTAAGAGTATGTTGGGTGAATTTCAGTAACTGTGGTTCATAGCTATTGTGGTTCATATGATTGAAAAGAACATTATAAAAAATACTTTGAAATTTTAAATAAATGTTTGGTTTTTTACTCTTCCAATTTTATTTGCATGCATATTCTAGTTACCTGGAACATAAAAGCTGTTATTTTAACTTCTAACACAATCTTTCTGTCTTGTAAAAACGGTGTGCCCACCTAGAAAAGGCTTCCTCTTTCTATTACATTAGTTCATTACATTATATTAATATTACATTAATATTTAGCCTTACTAGAGATGAAAAAAGAGGATCCTATTCTCTAATGCTGGGCATTGGAGAAATATTGCCTTGCAAAGCCATATAAAATAGTAAAAAGAATACAAAGATATACATGGTGTAAATATTTACCTTTTTAAAATAGGAAACAAATTGCAATTCTGAAGCATGTTAAAATATTTTATTTAAAATTACAAGTTCAAACTCAGTGATTTTAACATTTTAATTTTCAGTACATCTGCATTTGTTTGCACAAGATTTCTTAAAATCATTCATAAAGTATCATTCATATTTAGTGAAATGTGAACATTTTCTGTCAAATGGAAATAGAAATATTACTAGAGCCTTTAGTTTTGAGCTAGGAATATAAGAAAGCAGTGATTTTAATTCTTCGATTCATTATAGATTAACTGTTGCGTGTTACCACATTTTAGACCCAGTAGGAGAAGCAATCACTACTTCAGCAGATCTACATTACCTAGCTTCTGTTAGAAAAAAACCTGCAGAAACTCAAGATGCAAGTACAAATACTACTTCAGGTAAGTGGTACCTATTGGGGCCACTGCAACGAGTTATTTCTTTTTTTTTACATGCAGTATTTGGCCAGTTCCCAAAATAGTAACTTTTTAGAAATTTAGAAGTTTACAGTTTATGCTGCTGTAAGTTCTTGTTTTCAAAAAAGTATTAAACAGTGACTTACCTTTCCTTAGATTCATCCATTTTGGCTTTCTTTTTTTCTCATTAAGAGCTCAAATCATATCAGAGTGTTGGAATTGGTGATGGAAATGTGGTTTCCGAAGCTGGGAAAAATCAGTCAGTCATGACAGATCCTGTGGCAGGTATGGTTTCTGTTTTTCTCTATTTCGATTATGATTTTTTTTTTTTATTTACAAGAAGTAGCTTAATGCAGGCTGTAGATAGGATACCTCCTTTAATCTATCTTGAAACCTAATGTGAAATAATAGCTACATTTTTAATCTTTTTTATCCAATTTAAAAATTGCTGATCAAAGCTTTTCTAAACATTTAGAGAATGCAGACCTTTTTCCAAACAGTTTGTCTAAAGTTTCAGGGGTGTAGTGTAAGTATAATTCTGACAATCATTCTTTTCTTGTAGAATCATTAACTGTCCCTGAGATGTTACCACAAGATATGTATTTAAACCTCCCTGCTGAGGAGAATGAGACACATTTATCACCCTCACTGTTTGATGCACCTGTTGTGGTTAGTGATCCTATTTGTTTATGGCTAAAATACAGAAAACGTCTGCTATTTATGTTTTATCACATGAATTTTGGTTTTTCATATCTGGATGACTCAGTTTTATAATACTGTAGAAAACCAATAGGTTTTCTTTCTTGGAAACAAAAATGCTCAGCCCAGTATTGTAAGAGGTAAGCACAATAAGTGATTAGCAATGTACGGCTTGGAAGACGCATTGTATAATTATTCATTATGTTGTTTAGAGTGAACATGAATATATCAAAGTGACTGACATTGAACAAAGTGATCTACTTAACGTTTTGCCCATCATACCTGAATCTGCAGAAGAGACAGTTAGTACACAGCAAAATGAGGAGTTTGAAATTTCATTTATAAAATTTAGTCACGTGGCAAATTCTGTTACTAGTACACCTCCGGAGGAGTTACAAAGGAAAGGTAAAACCATTTTTCTTTTTTCTTTTAAATCAGAAAAAGGTTATATATTTTGATAATAGTATCCTTACCTTCCACAGAAAACTTGTAACCTAACCCCACTCACTTCCTTTTTTAGTCTTGTACATCAAAAGTTTTACATTTAACTCTTTAATATTTATTTTTACTTGCTAAAACATAACGTTATGTACATTAAGCTGTGTCTGCTTACTTTCAGTACTTAAATGTTTGCATTTTGTTCTGGTATGTTGATATATCTGATATATACTCTCTTTTTATTTCAAGACAATCATCTCAACAATGTGTCATATCAAGTGCAAAAGGAAGATAAAATGTCTGATTCTGCTAGTGATGGTGTGACGTGGAATGCAGTACATAAGGACGCCAGAACTTTTCATTCTTCAGGGCTACCAGCCAAAGTAATTGGCAAAGAATACTTTTCCACAAAGTTGCAGGAAATGGATACACAGCTACAGACACTTCAGGACATAGCAGAAAATATGGAGAAGGATTTCAGCAATACTAAGCAGGTCAGTTCAGGCTGCTAAATATTATGGCCAAAAGAGTTCCTATTTTCTCTTTAAAAACAAAATGTAGATTTTGGATTGATGTGTTTTCAGGCCTGCTGTTAGAGCTAGAGAGTAAATAATGCACAGATCTTTCACATATAGTGCTGGATCTGTTGGCTCCCATGGTAACTTGGAGTGGGCCAAATGCTGGCCAGATTGGCAACATCCTTATTGGATGGGCAGAATATATGTAATTTACCTCAAACTGGCAGGCTACAATGGCTCAAAACTTCATCCTGAGCAAGAGAAATTTTTGGCAAATGTTTCTGCCATTTTAATTCTGCAGAAAATTATGTTGCTATTTCTGGCACCTGTTACCATTTCTCTCATAAAATATTTGTATTTGGGGCATTTTTATAAATCCAAACATATAAATAAAAGTAAATGTGTTTTGGACATAGTAATATAGTGATAATAATAATAGTAATTCAGGAATTATTGTTTTATAAGTCATGACAAAAATCTGATAAATTAAAAAACAAAGGCAGCAGAATCTGTCCTCAGTGCTGTGTTTCATTTCCTCAAAGCCTCAAGTGTGATTGACTTTACATGTATGTGAAATGATAATATTTGTGCCTCTTACTTAGAAATATTAGTAAAGTTTAGAATACCTTGGAAGTGACTATTCTAAATATGAGCCAATAGGTTCTGATTTTATCTAACTGGTATGTTGTGGGTTTTTTTTTTATTAGTACATCAAAAAAGTCAATTTCTAGTTCCTGGAGATCTGAATTTACACTGAATGAATTCAGTATCACTTTGTGTAATTCCATAGCATCTGCATTTTATATAATAATTCAAAAAGATAGTGTTCATTTTTGCCTGTACTCCCAAATAGTAGCAGAAATATAAGGATCTCAGAGTGTCACCGCAAACAGTTACTATATTGAGCTAGATCTCTTAATCACTTTCATCATTCCTCCATCATATTTTGTCATTATCTGATCCATTTTTTTTAAAGTGAAAAAACTTTGCAATGTCCTCTCTCTGCTCCAGGATTTCACTGCATTTGGGTTTAAAAACACCATCTAGATGACATCATTTCACTGAAAATAAGCTGATTTTCTTTTTTGGATGTTCTTTCAGTGAACACCAGTTCCTCACCATTCCTTTTATACCAATTTCTTATGCAATAGAAATGAATTATGAGGCCTGTGCTGTTTAAGAATAATAAGTAAAATGTTTTCATCTAAGCTGGTCAGTTTTAGTTTCTACTTTCTACCTCTCACTTTCTAGAAACTCTTGACATAGGAAAAATATGGTAATGAAAAAAGTCCAGTTTAGCTACTTTGATTCCCAAAGTATTTTCTTTGTTTTGAATAGAGATTCTTCGGTAAAATACTTGCATGATTCTGAGAAAAAAGTGTGTGTAAAGCAATCTGTGCAAGAATATCTGCTGTGTGATTGTCAGAAGTACTTTGAAGAATTTATTGTTAATGAGTTTTGCTATTTCTTTCATAGCTAGTAAAAATAATAGAAGATTTTGAAATAGCTGCCAACGCAGGCCTTGGCGCTCATTCATCATTCTCTGAAGATGCTGGACTCCTTGATGATGGTATGTGTCCAGTTGTGTTGAAGCTTAACAAACTAACTCTGCACTCAAGTGTAATGCTATCACAGCAGCTACATTGAAAAATGTCTTAAAAAATAAAAATTGAAAGAAATAAAATCAAGAGAATTCACAAAAATGTGAATAATATTATGAATATTGCCTCAACAGAAATATATTTGAAAATATTTATATGTTTTGTTCTTTTCCAAAACCATCAGGCTGGGCTGGTCTTCCATTCTAAAAATGACAGTGGGTATTTTTATTATCTCATAAAGCTAAAATTGGAGTTAGTGAGGGCTTTGCTTGCTGGTAAGTGGATGTGAAATTTGTGGAGGTATAATGGAGGTTTTTTCATGCATCTTTGGTGACTGCGTACTTGTAACATCTTCTATCTTGACAAAAGCTTACATCAGCTTAACTGTTTGCCAGACCTGATGTATTGAATAATTCACTGTTCGCATAACAATTTACTAGTCCATGTTTATTTACAGCTCTGGTACTTCAGGGAGCCGCTGAAAATGATAATTTAAATTGCTTTAGGTTCGAACCATGAACTAAATATTGCACAAGCGCAAATTTTGAGGGTTTTTGCATTGTGTTTTTGTCCACTGGTCTATATTAACTGCTATATTATTTTTGTTTCATGTCATCAGATCATTATACGAGTGGCCTGATTATTGAAGATGGTATGGATGAAGAAAAGGAAGGGTTAAGACTGGAACGTCCTGTACCCAGTTACACAACACTGGATGTGCCCCTCTCTGCCTCTGCAGCCTCTGCTTCTGATGGTGGCATATTACAATCATATGCTGGTATGATTTTTATGTTTATTTCTTCTTGTTTATTTTCCTTTTCTTCCTACTTTCTCATTACTGTCATATAGTGTGCTGTGTAATGCTGATGAGCATTATATGTTCTGTGGTGGTATGATATCACTGAAAGCTTTTTGAGAAGGACTCTGCAGTGAATTATATTTGTACTCAAATTTATCCCATCTACCATGTTATTGAAAGGAAGTGAATAGCTTTGAGTCTAATTCTAAAGCCATTCTCTATGATTTGTAATTATTTACTGAAGTAGTACCATGAATCCAAGTAGGCACAGAACACTCATACCTTCCTCCTGCAGCTGTCTGTATCCTCTCTCCTATATTTTAGAGATGAGTTTGTCTAAGCAAAGTTGTTTTATATCATTATATGGCAACGAGCAGCTGTGTCATAAAACATTATTTTATAAGGTCTGTTTTTGCAAATTAATACGCATTTGCAATTATGAAGACAATTGTAGTAATGTGGAAGCAATGTATTTCTTATGTTTAAAAATGTAGGTTATTGTATTTTATAGGTATGTTTCCAATATTACTTGCTTTCATACTTCTAATATAAATGAAACCTGTATATATCCATGCAAATACACATTTGACAGTCACATTTCCAGCATAGTTCATATATATGCATATAGCAGCAGTGAAACTCAAATAACATGCTAACTACCTAGATAAATTATATAAATATTACCACATTTATAGTTGCCTCTCTAAATAAGAACTTTTTATCACACAAGATGTCTAATATATTATTGTTAACTTGATTAGAAATATAAGGTTTTTATTAACAGTGTCTCTTCCTCTTTCAGGCTTACACATATGTGGAAAATTAACTCATAGGTATGTGTTTTGTCACTGTCACTTAAATAAAAGTTCAAGCATTAGTTTTCAAACAAAAGAAGCCTTTTTATTGGCCAAATTTAGATAGTCATTCTGTAGTGTATGTTTGTGTGTTAAATTTGTTGATCCAAAGCATTCTGTTGAGTCAGGGTGCTTGAAGGAAAAGTTGTCCCACGGCTTCAACTCGGCACGTGTAGCAGTACAAGTCCTGGGGATGCTTCCCAGCCTTCTGGGCTGCAGTCTGGGCTCCTCATGTTCAGACACCCCAGTGCTCCTCCGTTAGTCCAGCTTGGCCTGGGGCCACGTTCCCTGATGCAGAATTCACACCTCTTTGCACGCAGAGAGGCAGGTGAGGCACGTGAGGCAGATCTCACTCACAGAGGAAAGTGACAGTGTTTGCTTATATCTACAACATGAATGTGAAGCTAAAGTGATGACTGGTAGCTTTTTAAAAGCAGTGGACCTATACCCTCCCTTAATGTACTGTTCTGTGCATAGTAACTCAGTGAAAGGTTGGGGGGAACGTGAAAGGATTTTGGCAAAACAATGTAAGTATTCAAATTTTGAGTATAAAAGGAAGAATTTTAGCTTGTTGTTCTTCAAAACATATTCTGCTTTATATTGTTAACATTTTCCTCTCCCCTTTCCCTCCCTTTAAGATCTTTAGAAGACTCCCTGCAACTCAGTGGCCTTAGTGGTGTTTCTGACATCATTAATGATCTTATAGTAGAAGGTGCTATCTCTCCAACAGAGCTGGGCTTTAGAAAAACACAGACTAAGAAAATCTGTAGGTAAGGTAACATGTCTGTTTTTATTATGTATTGGTTAAATAATTTTAACTGTTTTTTTTTTTTCTACTCACAGCTTAAACCCTGTTAATACGTAATGTAAACAAGTTGAGTCAATGAGACCAGTATTAGAAATGCCAGTTTTACTGGCCATTACTGTAAAAAGTGCTAACTGCTGCTGTGTTTGGGTTTTTTTTTTTCGTTTTTCATATTAACTTTAAAGTTATTTCCTTCCGACTTGCTTGCTTGCTTGATCCCAATCCTTCTTCTACCAGGCATAAGCTGGAGCACAAATCTACACATACAGCAGATTCAGCTCTGCCAAGGGAAATTGATCTTAAAACAGTTCGGCCTGGCGGAATAGAAATGTGCTGTCAGTGGCAGATCAGCTGTAGAAACTCTTTATTAACAGAACTTTCTGTAGCATATGAGGAATGTTTTAGTTTACAGCTTAAATAGAAGAGTTCTTAAAACGGAGTGTTTTTAAACTTTGAATCCTTATATAATGAATGTTTTGAAGAAATTCATAGATTGAGGGACCTGAGGGAATAGAAAAGATGATAATAGCTCTCTGGTCTCTTGTTTGTTTGTTTATTTTATTAGATCCATACCCCATCCATTAGATCTTAGTATTCAAAGATTATATCAGTATGACTTTCATTTTTTAATGTGCCAATTAACATGCAAAAAATACAATTTCTATTAGAAGCTTTGGTTCCATTATTTGACTGTAAATTACAAAAAGAATAAAAGCTTTAGGGAATATCTTGGAAATTACTTGTATACCTGGATTTTTATAAGTTACTTTTTACAGAATTTTAAGCAATTTTAGTGTTTTCAGCATATTGTGTAGAATTGGCAGCATTTACAGTTTAAAGGACACTTATATCTCATTTACATTTCCTCTCAGGAGCCACAATTCAGGAGCTGCTGGGCGTCATCAAAGAACAGAAAAGGAGAAGAAAGAGATACGAGCCTGGATGAAAAGAAAGCGGAAGGAAAGAATGAGGGAATATATGAAGAAACTGGATGAGCAAAGGCAGAAAGAACACAATCCATTTAATATAAGAAAAAGTGGGGTAAGAGTACTGGTATCTTGTAAAATTGCAGTTGTCAATTATGCGAGTATTGATGGCTCAGTTTAGGTTGATAAAAACTCTTAGCGATTCTTTTTCCTACATTAATATTTTTTTTTTTCAAAACTTTTTTTAGAAACTTTCTAGGGACTGGCCCTAATGTGTCCCTAATGTGTCTGATGTGTCAGAAGTGATCAGTAAGCAAAGATATCACAGTGTTTTTGCCAGGCTGCAATAACCATGACAGTCATGACTTGTCTGCTGATGCAGAGCCAAGAATAATCCCTGCCCTGGACCTGTCATGTTCTCAAAAAAAAGATTTATTTTGATGTAGACTGATGGGAACTACAGGAGTTCTAGAGAAGTGTTTAGTCTTTGTTTCCTCTTTTCCCAAAAATAAAATGGAATGAATTTTAAAAGCCCGGTTAAGGTGCCAACATCCTTTACGACAGTGATAGGATACTGAGGCAGCCAGCATTGTCATTCATATATACAGATGTGTATGCAATTACAGAGGGTCAGCAGAAGCCTAAGACTATGTCCAGAAACTTGAGATAGATGCTAAAGACTGGCTTCAACACAGACTCAGAATACAATGTCTTTCCTTCTAGAATTATTAATTTTTTAATTCCTGAAAGCACATTGATGGTCTAATACATTGCTTCTACATTGTGCTGATAATAACTACAAGGGGAAAAAAATTTCAAAAGCAGTTCAGAAATTATTCCCTAATCTGTTACATATCAGGAAATTACTGTTTCACCCTGATATGTCACCCAGACATCCTCAAGACCTGAAGAGACACTAATGAGTCTAAAGAATGTCTGAGTTTACAAGAGATGAGACAGAACACAGTGTGTTCTGTAAATTCTGTCCCAAGTAGCAAACATAACATGAAAAAGTTTTTTGGCACTGAACGGTATTCAGTTTTAGAAACCATGAGTCTCATATGTTTCCTTCTCCCTTGTTTTAAATAATCTTTCAGAGATTTCTGAAATTGCTTTTTTACACATGTGTAGCATTAAATACACATTTATCCTGAATCACTTGCTTACCCGCTCTCTGACTTCTTATGCTGCCAACTTATCAATATATACTACCTGCTTTTGTTATAGCATTTGCTCCTGAAATAAATAGATGGAGGGAATCTCAAATTGATCTCAATTTAAAAAATAGCCTTAAAAATCCAACTGTGAAATAGCGAAAAAGTTAAAAGTACAATGTTCCTTTTCTTAAAAAACAACAACAAAAAAAAACAGAACAAACAAAAAAAACACTAATTACTGTTAGGAAAATACACTGACTTTTAGGAAGCTGACTATGAGGAAGTGTGAAACCTTAGGTTTGACAGTGATTACATCTCTGAGGATAATAGTATTTTAAACTCACTAGTTATAAAAGGCACTGGAGGCTTTCAGTATATTTTGAAAACTTGGGAGTTTATAGAGACAATCTTTACTGAATCTTCTGGTAGGACTGCATGATTTCACATTGTTGTTAGTGTTAGCTGAAGAACATCTTAAATAGTAACTTCAAACTGAATAGATCTTGCATTGTGAACAGGGGATAGGAATAGGGTTACAATACAGATAGATTAATGAGTGTTATACTATCTTATACAGCATTGTCTTACCTCAAAGGAAATTAAATTGATCCAGAAGAAGAAAGAAGAAAAAGACAAGTAAGTTGCCATAAATGTAACTTGCATTGTTAGTTAAATGCCAGTCTTCTAGTGTTAAGAAAAAGCTGTTTTTAACTATTTCAATTGTGAAATTCCATATATGAACAATTCATGTTTGATTTCTATTTAGGAAAAGTGTGAACATTTTTCATTCTTTGTGTTCTTCATTATCCAAATGTATTTTTTTTAGACATCAACTCTTTGATTCTGTCAAAACCATTGTTAATAAATGCTTTAGGCTTTTGCTAATCATTTTAACAGAGATAGTATATGCTTTCTTGAATTGCAAAAGATTTTCTTTCTATTTGAGCTCGCAAATAACCTTGCAGAAAAGACTAAAGAACATACAAGCCAGTTCTAGTTAAAGTGGTGATAACATGAACTGCTATGTAATATCACGCTTACTTTCTCCACAGAGCCCTCTTATCTGAGCATCACAGTCTGAGAGTATCGCAGGCCCTTTCCCTGATGAATGAAATGTTATCTGAAACAGTGTTGTTACCTGAAAACGAATGCAGACCATCATCCAAGACAAGATCACCTCAAGAGTACAGAAAACAGCATATTGCATCTACTAACAGGTAACAACTTTAAGCATTAACTCTGCTTTGATGTAGTGGTCTCTTTACCACACTTCAGATTTGATCACAAGGCCATGTATTTTAGGATTAGTTTGAGCCTTTGTATTATGGCAGAATCAAGAAGTCACTTTACAGAAGGGTCTGGATCAGAGAAAAGTCTTAAATTCCTGCACGAATTCTTACAGCTACTGGAGCAGGATCATGGAAGGAGTCTTAAAAATGCTGGTGATTTGCCTCCTGGACCACAGAATCAGCCAGCTCTAGTTGGAGCTGTTATCAGCGTCCTAATCCACTCCACTCAGTGACAAACAGGGACAACCTGAAATGCAACCAATAATGTTAATGATTGTTGTTCATGATTTTATTACCATCTTGTAACCACCAAAAAAAAATGCTTTTGAAGTAATCATACTACTGCTTATACATGCAGACAACATAAATTAGTTTTCAACAAAACCTAGGAGACTTGTTCTCTCCTTTCCAATTTAAGAAGTATTCCTCAGTTTTTCATTATTTAGGATTTTTCTTCTTCTTGTGTTTGCACTTACAGCCTTTTGGGGAGATGATGGTATTTGAGAAATACCAATTGGGATCTAAATTCCTTTTAATAAACTTAATATTGCAGTATATATAATCTGAGTGTTATTGCAGTGTTCTGTTTCTTCTACAGACAATTTTGTCACCCAGAATAATAAAAAAGAGTGGTCACTTCAGATAGTCCTGTAACTTCCAGCAGATATCTGTGCATCTCTCTTTTTAATAGCAAAGCTGGAGGACAAATCGTTCAGCTGGATACGGTGTTCCACAGAGCTGCTGATGTCCAAGGGTAGTTGCCTCTTAGGCCAAAATTATCCATGTCAGAATCAGAAGTGCTAAAGACTTTCACTCAGAAAGCCACATTAGGAGTGAGTGATAGTAACTTCCAACTAATAATTTTTCTTGGAACTAAACTGGTTCTTTATAAAAACAGTGCCTGCATCTGCACTGTCATCCCTACTGCTTCTGATTCTGGTGGGGCTTATTAGTCCCACAAGCACTGGGTCATGCTGATGCTGAGCTATGAGCTGTAGAAGATTTTTGTGGCAGTCTTGATCTTGAATAAGCCTTGCCAGTTACAAGTTGTGGGATGAATGATATGGGAGGAAGATTGGGGTAAATAAGTTTTTTTGTTGTGTTTTATTTTTCTTCTTGTAGAAGGCGTCCCAAAAGTCACGTTCTGTCAGAAAAGAGTAGGATTGCTGCCAAACCCAGCTTTGGTGAAACAAGAGCTCTTGGTTTAGCAGCACCCAGGGGTAAGAAGAAAACTTCCTTAATGAATACACATAGTGAAGAACTTTTCTGAATTACTACTAAGACTTTGAGAGGGAGGCATTTTAACGTCTATGTAGATAATCAGACTCTCAATCAAGGCAGTGTGCTGCCATGAGGATGACAGAACTGTGGTGTTGTTGGCCTTTCAAATAATGAGACTTATGTTATCTCTTTCTTAAGTCCAAAATACCTTATTTTGCCATAGCAGGAGTACTGTATAATCCAGGAAGTACATTTATAAATGAAACTTTTGAATTATCTTTTGAGTAGATTTGTATCTACTGCATATATTGATAGAAGTCCTTCTTTTTTTTTTTTTCCCCCTTTCTAGGCAGTACTACTATGTTGTTACAGAAGAGTACTTCTAGAGGAAGAATGAGACACTCAGCAAACTGGCCTGTTAATTCTAGATACTGTAAGTTATAAAGACATAGTGATATGTTCAGCTATAGAAGGTAGTGGAAGAATGGGACACAGATCTCATTTCATGACACAGGCTGGGTAGGAATTCTGCAACACAGGTTTAAGATACAGTATTAGTTTAGAAAAAAATATGTATTTTTTCCCTTTTAAGAAAATTCTTTTCATTGGAAACTTGTGAAATATTCTAATCAGCTCTGATTTTTAGTCAGATGGCTGAAACAAACGCGTGATATTTCATGTGTCCCTGAAACAGTTGTTACAAAGTCGTAAGGCAAAGAGGACTTGACTTTCTTTTTCAAATAAAGACCACAGAGGGAGTTGGTAGGAAAAGAGGTTTTAGTTTGCCTCTTCCTTACCTTTCTGCGCTACTTACTTTCCAACCTCTTTAAAAGTAGGCACTTCATTATCAATCTGTACAGTATTAGGTTAAGATACTGTTTGTCATAATCTTAAAGTGGAAGAATATATGATGGGATTTGGCTAAAAAATAATAATAATAATTTTACTGAGCCTTGTTTACTATATGTGTAGGTCTGGATCCACAGAAGAGTTTACTCTGAAAAGTAAAGAAGAGTTTAAAATGTTTCTTTTTAATCCATTTGGAATTCAGATTGAAACAGATGTAGGACTTGATTATAAAAATAGAACATTTGAATCAGATAGAAAAAGATTTCAGGAATAATCAATCGTAAATTTAGGAAATAATGGAGATAGATTGATTCCATACTCCCTTGCAGCAGAATTATCCTAATAGTGGCATAATAGCGATGCTGTTTGGCTAGCTAAAGGAATTTAAGTTGGCAGCACAAGAAAGGGAGAGAAGCAGTGGTCCTATACAGATTTTTTCCTGAATCATTTACCTCTACACATGTGGATGACTGTTTTCCTCCTCCTTTCCACACATTCTTTTTTAGACTAATCTTAAAAAATATAGGTTAATTTATATCTGATTTCACATGACTGTGTTTCTCCAGAGTAAACCATGATTGCTAAGGGATTCACTGAAGTTCCAAAGCTTCCAAGAACCACGTGGTGTTTGGAATCCAAAATTTATGTAGTTTTATTCCTCGATCAGAATTACTCCTGATGTAACTCCCTTTTGGATATATCTGCGTTACAGGAGCTGGATGCTGTTGGCACCTTGCAGGGTCCCTTTTCACTTTCTATCCCACCCTGAGAAAACCATTTAGAAAGGGACCTGCAGCATTTTCCAGTCATACTCTTCATCAATGTAAGAGGGCATGCTGACATCAGTAATTTATACTCAGCTTCCATCTTTAGGACCTTGCTCTTTTGTTCTTGGGAAGTTTCAAGACTTTTAGAACAATAAAGCTGCCAGAAATGTTACAGTGTTATGATTGACTTGTTTTCTCTAGCAATTGCTGAGAACAGAACCAGCAGAACACCAAAACAAAAGCTTTTACCTGTTGCTACTGCAGTGCAGACTGAAGATCTTGATCATGAGACTGAACGAGATGTAGTAAGTCCTTGGAGTGTGCCTGATGAAATCCAAAGAATACTTCATGATACTCCTGACTCCTTGTTTCAGGTAAGATTAATTAGTCAAGGAATGAACATCATGTAGCACTCATCCTGTGTTAATTTATGCTGTGTTTTAAAGTGAATGGGTGGGATAGATGCAGGGGGAAATTGTGGTGTAATTCTTATGGGCCTCTCAAATGCCTCTTTTTTCTAACTCTATAGTCAGATGTTTGCTGAGGCAACAAACACTGTTGGGAGAGTGTAAAGAAGCATATAACTTTAATTTCGTGCAAAATGAGCAGATATATGTTTACTAGGACATGTTTGGAAAGAGCATGAACATTTCTACTGGCTGCACATACCTGCACTATGATTCAGCTCCTCTTCTCTTCTTCCAATAGGCTTCTGCACTTCCTCCTGTTAGCTTCTCTCCCCTCGACGTTAATGATACCGATGGTGTTTCTGAAAGCACAGGAAGTATCCTCAGCAAACTGGATTGGAATGCAATTGAGGCTATGGTAGCAGATGTGGACGACAAGTGAACAGAATTTCTGTACCACTGTGCATTTTCAAAGCAATTGCCAGTGCTTAATTTTGTTATTTTTGATAATCATTGTCCTGTCTAAAGTGGATTGAACTTTTACGGGTTATCATAATAAGCAGCACAGAATGTCTTTCTATTCACACTTACCTGGATAAAACTACAATGTTTTTTAACATTGTTTTTTAACATGTTATACAAAGGTATGTTTTTTAACATGTGGTTTGATTTCAGCTCATCAGTAACTAAGTATAGGTGGTAAATGCTTGTTTATAAGCATTTGTACCATGGTTGCAAACAAGAACCTCTGTCAGCTACTTTGCCTCTCTCATATGCATAGTTTTGTTCTCTTTTAAGAGCACTACACAACTATTTTACCTATTTAACATGTAACATCTTTTTTGAAGTAAATTTTGTAACTGAACAGTTGTGATAAACTGGTTTAATAAAAATAAGTTTATTATTTTTGCTGTAAAATGTTTACATACACACAGCATTGTTATTGCTGAATTCTACTATTACTGTATACGTGTCACTTCTCTAATATTTTAAATCCAACTTTCTTGTATAACAATTCAGAGAAGTTAAAAACATTTTGACAGTTGAAGGTTGGAAGAAGTATAAACAGGCAAGCAGCAATAAAATAAATACAGAATCTAGTCAGGAAAATCAGACACTAAGGATTAAGTACTTGTAGTAAAGAAAATACTTGCTATGCTTCCATATAATATACTATTTTCTGGACAGAGTTCTGGCAGCTCCCAGGTATTTTAAAAAATATGTTCTGTGTTCAGTGGCCACCAGCTATGAGTAGTAACCTTAACAGACCCAGGTGACACTTTCCTAGCAGCAGTTCTTTTTGTTCTTATAGTGAAGAAAATTGAGTTTTTGATGAAAGTGTGTTAAGTTCATATGGTTAATTGCTGGCAATCAGTACTCTAATAGTTACCAAATTAATTTTTGTCCTTTTCAGAAAACTTCTTGACAAACACCCTGAAATATCTTTCAGAGAAAGCCTTTAACAGGATTGCAGACATACCAGAGTAGCATATCCAGTTTCTATATATTTGGAGGTCAAAAATGGCCGTGTATTTTAGCTCATGTTAGAGCTGCATGAGATTGTCCCACAGGAGTGGCCGGAGAGCAAGACTGAACCAGTGCTAGCAATGAGCATCTCCAAATGAAAAGACCAAGTGCTTTCAAAGAGCCAGGCCAAAGCTTTCAAATGTGACTTCTACTCACAGGCTTTATGTACCTTTCTCCAGAATGCCAGCAAAGATGGCATCAGTAAGTACCTTTTGTTCTTTGAGCAAAAAATCTGGAAAATTCTAGTTAAGCAAAGTGTGAAAAACCCTTTAGGATCGGAGGCAGCTGAGAAAAGGAAGAGGGGAAAGTCAGAAACAAGACGGTTTCTCATTAACTGTCTCCTAAAAGGCTCATGAAATACACAAGCAATGATGGCAGAAGGGAAAACTGTATCAGACCAGCATCTGACCCATTTGCTTCTTATGCTAACTGCAGCATTACAGTCATTAAATGTTAATGCATGTATTGTGCTGGGCAAGCATATAAACATATTATATATATATACACACTTATATGTATATATATATATATATAAAAAACCACTCACCAAATAAGAGTGGAGATAAAAAATGTGGTAGGATCCATAGCAGGTGACTTACTTATGTAAGTTACCAAGAGTGTACTTGCTGTCCTAGAAAGTGCTTTGCACTGCTGAAGTTAGTTGTAAAGAATTCACAGATCTTGTCAGTAACTATCTGGTGACAAAAAGGTTCAGATAAGTTAAGGAGAAAAATGTAGAAATAAGGCATAAGGATTCTATTTATAAAGAGGATGTTGATGTTTGCAGGACCTTTATAATTTATCTTCATGTGTCTTATTTGTTAATACAAATACTTCTAAAATGGAAGTAAGTATTGTAAAAAGTAAATAATTAAGGGTGGAATAACGTGACTTTCTTCAAGCCAAATATCTCCAAGTGCTGAAAGGAAACAAAAGTCTATGAGCAATTCCTCTTACAGGGGAGAAAAAACTTTCTCTAACCTCTTATTCACAGCACTGCAAATCACTAAAACAAAGGTAGAAAAGCAGGTGAAAAGACTTCCCAGCTGTGACATTCAAAATTTATGCTCTGCATAAGACATGGAAGCAAGTGCCTGGGCAAAGCTCCTCTATAGAGTCACAGCAGTATGAAAAAGTGCTCTTGATTGATAGTGTATGACCAGGATCATCAGGAAATACCGCCTCACCCTGCTGCTCCCACAGACCCAAGAAAAGTTCTGTCGTGCTTTCTCTTACTCTTTGATGCCCCCTTTTAAGACCAGAGATGAAACATAGCATTTTGC